CCCAATTCCCTGCGTTTTCTGGGTTATACTTTTGGTGATAGAGCCTGTAAATAATACTGCCGACCAGGGAAAAAAAATATTTTCGAAAAAAGTTTCTCTGGGTCGTCGATGGGTCCTCATTTGGGCGAGGCAAGGGATCGATTCAAATGCCATTTTGGGTATACTCCACTCCGAATTAGACGCTTAAAGTGCAGACATAAAAAAAGGATGCACCTGTAGGCGTCTTCAGGGTCCCTTGGTACCGATTAAAAAAATCTCCGAAGTCGAGCCGAACCTTTTTCGATGTCTGAAGTACCTAGTAACATTTGAGAGCCAGGGCCAAATAGTCGAAAACTCGAAAGGATCGATCCCGAGTAATTGGCAGGCGCTGCCGTCGGGTTCGCGCCTTGATTGGCAGTGGAATTTTCACTTTTGATTTTTACCCCTTTTTTTACCGTAGAGCTTCATCTCGAATGCCGGGTGCAAATTGACTCGAAGCGGCGACCGTGGGCCGATCGCGGGGGTGGAGCGGAAACGGGGAAAGAATCGAAATAACCGTGTCGACCTCGATTTTTCTATCGCACCCAGTTGGAGAACGGCCCCATTGGGGGTGGGAAAAAATTCACCGGTGACTTCTGCGGGAAAGTCGATTTCAATCTCCAGGTAATCCCTCGAGAGCACGTGGGTTCGCACCCTCGAAGGACCCTCCAAGGATCGTTCCATCCGAGTTCGAGGATCCGCAGGATACGACCGTAGTTATGGCTTGACTCTTCCGTAAGTCGATTTTGTCCGTCCATGGAAAGCGTATCCTTTCGGTATCACTCGGGGGATGAAGGCATCCGTTGTTTCCGGTCGAGTCGGGGTCGCACCCCCCCGCAGTCAGCTGACCGGAAACTGATCCTCGACGGTACGTGATAGAAAATCTGTAGCTGGGATTTCTGGCCGTGGGATTTACCCGGGCATTCGGCCGGAATATTTTCAGAAATTCCCGAAGGATTTATAAATTCTAGGGGGATTGAAAAATTTTAAAAATACTCGGTCGCAATCTCGAATATCCCTCGGCGTATCAGACTTATCAAACTTCGCTCGTACGATAGGCTAACTGATAATTTCCCATCATTTCCGTAAACATCCTGTTTATAGGAGAGGGGATCTCGCCAATTCAGAGATAGCCCGATTCTCGCAAGGTTTCCCGGAAATAGTTGAGCAAACTGCTGTATCCGGGATACACACCGTGATATTGGATTAATTAATTAAAATTCGTTATTCCGCGAAGCCCGGCGTCTGTACGTTCTCGAAACCAGCTTATTCAAAGTTTACCCGCGGGAGGAAATATGGACAAAGGGTAGGAGCATGGGAAAAATCAAGCCTCGCTAACGACCCCTAAAAATGGGAGAAGTTAATTAATAATTTCGCGGGAGGCCTCTCGAATATTGACGGAGGACAATTTGGAGGGAAGGCAAACATTGCCGGGGAGTTTTCGATTTTAGAATTAATTTGTCGAATCGTTATATCCGCGCCGGAGTAGGACTTCCGGCTTTAGATAATTCGCCGATCAATTCGGCAAACGGCCGAGTCGATTAATTAATTCATTATTTCCACGCGGCCCGGGGCTCTGAAAATCAGCTGACCGGAAGTTTATACATGACGGAGTATTCATAAAAGAGAACAGCCCGGCAGGTCGCGTTAACAGCCCCCTAAAAATATCAGAAGTTCATTCCTGGCCCACCTCGTCCATTCCAGGCCGTGGAAAAAATCACCGGTTGGTATCTCGAAAATACATTTCGTTCAAAAATTAAGTCTCTTGCTTTTTAATAAAATGGGCAATTATCAACGCTCTCGAAAGGCAAATTAGACCCGTAATTGTTATTTTTTTTTTATCGCTATTAAATTTCATCCCGGCGATTTTATAGCTCTATGGCGTATCGTCGGGTCGTCCGTGAAGAGTTATAATTTTTGTACGTGATCCTTGGTGACAGCGACGCGTTTTATAGGGCTTGCAGCTTCCCGAAAAATTAACGAAGCAATGAAATAACATTCGGGGCGATAAATTCACACGGTATTTCGATACGAGCCGGTCCAAGCTCCGGATTTACCCGAGGCTGGTTTTAGGGAAACTGTACGAGGGCTCACCTCGAAAATTATGTCACTTTAACGACACGCTTCGAGAGACATCAATCGCTGGAATCGAACCCGGGAAAAGCGCCAGGTAAAACGCAGGTAAATCGCAGCCAAATCGCGCGACGATCATTACTGCGAAAATTGCGCAGAAAAAAAAAATTCAGCTAGATACGGAATGGGCGATTTTATCGACATTCGCGATATGCCGCCGACGACTGCACTGCGTTATTCAGGAAGTCCCAAAACTGCGTGAAAACTAGCTCGGTTAAAAAAATAAAAAGAAAGCAAAAAGTTTGTCGGTTTCGACACGGCGCTCCGAAATCGCAACTCCAATAGAGTTTGCAACTGTTAGAGCGAATTCGGGGATTAAAGCGCAAAGGGTGAATTACACGAGCTGAATGCTCCGTAAATGATTTCGGGATTTAATTTTATTCCAGGGTAAAAGAGCGAGGTGACAATAGGATCCTTGATCGGGGAGGGCCTTTCGGCGACAATTCCTCTGCTAATGTTCTCGCTTCAGTTATTTGTTTTATTCGTGACGGGATGATCGCGTTGTCAAAAGAATGATATTGAAATCGGCAAATAACGCGAGCAGGGATATAATAGCGCTTGCTTTCCGAGCGAGTGAAGCCTCCAACGGGGCGCGTCCACCCGTGCGCGATTCGCGACTCGGACATGGAACCGCTCTCGCGCCCCCTCTTTCGAAAACCCACCGATCGAGAGCGACTGGTATTTCCGAAAATTTTTGTTAACATTTTCGCCGCAGCTCTACCCCAGGAATATTGAAAAAAAATATTGACACCCGTCGCCCGCGTTAATCCGTTGAAAAAACGGGAGCGAAGTCGCGAGTGTAGGGCCGAGAGTGGAGCTCGAAGCCTCCATCTCGGACCATTCGCTGAAGGGAGAATTATTGCTTTTATTTAGTTTCTTTAGTAAAATCACTTAATAATAGGAGGAATATTAGCTCGGGACGTCATTCCACGTATTATGCGAATTCTCAGGACCTCTTCTGCCGAAGAGAACTTGGAGACGATTTTCCCTCCCCCGAGTTTCTGTCCGTGGAGTTGGAAGCCAGTAATAATGGATATGAATTCTCGTAAACGTGCTCCCCGTGAGTCTCTCGGTAAATTGAAATTCCCAACGAAACTCGCGCGACCACTCACACGCGATTCGCCCTCAGGATCACGCCCTGCGGATCCATAAATTCGGAGCCATCGTCGCATTCGGTCGCTCCGATTCGAACAATGGCTGATAGTACCAATAATTTGCGATTCAATCCAATGAACCCGTTCTCATAATTCCGGGGTCCCAAACCCTAGGCTACGAAATATTTGCAATAACCGGACTACAAGCACGTTGCAACATTTTTCAACGGAAGACCGTTCGGAAATATTTTCTGCGAGTACACAAAAGCCACCAATTTGCGTGCATTAAACATTACCAATCTGTAACCGGAAGCCAGGACCTGACCGCATCCCTCGCGCAATTTTCCATCCTCAAGCCGCAACTGAATCCCATTACCTCTACCATAGGGAAATCTCCAACCCTGCCCACAAAACAATTAATTCCTCAAAAAATTAATAATATATGGAGTTAACACTTTTTCGACTAGCAGGTACCACTCCCATAAACTCGAAAAAAAAAATTATATATGAATGTACGATCAAAAGTTTATTTAGAAGCAAAAATTAATCGGTGGTGCTGGAATTCTAACCTACACTAAAAATGTGTATATGGCGACTGGGGTAGGTTTCGCACTCGGCCCTCGGGTTTCCGGATATTAATTTTCTGTCGATGGACACCTACGCCGCCGGCCAGGAACTCATTTCCGGTCTGGCGAAAATTGCACCGCCGTTTCCCCTGCGTTCCATAATAACCGCGTCGACGGGCCGCGCCATTACCGAATCGCGTCGGGCACGAAGAGGGCGGTCGCCATTTCTCCCTTTTCTCGGGCGCACGTACATTCGAGCGTGTCTTTCCCGGCAAAGGGAGCATCCTCGACTCAAAGTCTGCTCCGGAGTGCAAATTCGCGGGTGTCGCAACTTCCGGACACCCTGACGGTAAAGGGAGATCACCAGGGCGCCGCCTGCGCGAAATGGTCCAGGTGCCAGGTGGGCTCGCGCAAAGTAGTTTCGCTCCAGAGATTCTATTTCAGATTCCGACACGGCTCTTAATATATCTGCCTATCCGCCTATCAATCTCAGGATTCGGAGCACTCGAGATCGGCGATACAGGAGAGCGACGAGGGATGCTGCGACTGCACCCCTAATAGGCGATCCGGCGTTAAGCGATTTCCAAAATACACAGGAAAATACACAAAATCGTATTTGTTTCTGGCGAGGTCCTCTAGACCAAGAAAAGAAATTCATCGAATCAGAGAAATACGTTATTCATTAAAAGAAAAATTATTTCACTGAAATTCAAATAAATTTTCAATTCCTGAGAAACGTTTAATTTATTCGAGGGACATAATTATTCCTGGAATTAACCATTTCTTTGGCACCGTTCAATGAAACATTTCATTGGCACCCTTCGATGAAACATTTCTTTGGTACCGGTTCAATGAAATATTCCTTCGGTTCAGCGAAACTTTTTTCTCGGGATAGCGATACCGGAATTTTTTGCCTCCCCTCCTATCTCCGCTTTTCTCTGGGGAGAAGGAAGGTGAGAAATGCGGAAACGATACAAATGCCGCGTCCCGGAGGTGGGTGCACGTACATTCGGGGGATATCTACGTCTTGGCAGCGAGAATTCACGCGAGTCGTAACTCGGTGACACTCGCGAGTTCTCCGCGTCAGCCAGAGAGAAGAAATCGCGAGCGCCGCCTGCGCGAAATGGTCGCGGCAGCAGATGGGCTCGCTTCGCTGGCAGTTTCGCTCTAATACGAGATTCCGTTTCAGATCTGGACACGATGCTTTACGGATACACCAACGGGATATACGTGCTGGACCACAGCCCGGAATCGCTGCCGGTAAGTTCGAGGTCGACCGCCGTTGGAGCGGCTCGTTATACAAACTCTTTGATGGTCAAGTGGACGTAACGCGGTTCCCGCAGGTACCTTTATGCTCCTAACGTTTGTTAGGCAACAAGTTGCCCCGCAAAACGCGCACAATGCGAAGGGCTAACAAAGGCCGGCTCGATATGGTAAGGTTTTGCACGAGTTGCGAGCTGAAATTGATGAGCAATGGACGGCGGAAGCGTGACGTTTTGTCGGGACTACTCGCTACGTTGATTCCCCATAGTCGATAGAATTTTCCTATGAATTATTTCGCTCCGAAGTTTGGTAACCGTGATGGGGGAATATTATCGATTAATTAATCCCTTCGGTGATCGAGCGACTACCGGCCGGGCGATAAAAGGGCGATCGGTATTACGAAGTTTCCTAATGAATTCGGTAAAATTTTGATCCCCACTCCGGAAGTGGCAGGGACGAAGTCTGCAGCCTGTCGAGGACAGCTCGGCTAATTCTATTAAGCCGAGTTAATGTCACTCGTTCCGATTCCTGGGAGTTTTCAGCGCCGGAGAGAACGGATCCCGGAAGCGAAAAACGCGTTTAATGCATTCTTAATTCGGAAATTTCCGCCCGGCTGAGAATTGCATCCCTGGGAAAGTAACGTTTCATGATGCTTGAAATTCCTTCGCGTGGATTAAAAACGGACTACGGTTATTATGCGACAATGCACAACGTTACGCTCGTAATCCAGTTCGTCGATTTTTCCCAGGAAAATTTTCGCGGTGTTTTCAACGGGACCGAATGAAATTCCAATTTTCCCGGAGGAGGAGGAGGGCGAAGGAGAAGATTGAAATATGAAAATGAAATCCGCCCAGCCCGTCGACCATGCCATGACAGGCCGTAATCGCGCGCTTGGGATGCATTTCGATTTCCGAGGGACCCTCCACGCATGGCCGACGTGTACGTGGATCTTTTTATGCGAGTATTATCGCATTAACGGGAAACGAACTAGTCGGCATTAATCGTCGCGCGAATCGTGCCCTGCCGGGTCACTCGTTTTCGGGAAATTGCCCCGTGATTACTCGAAATTCGGCGATTAAGCGAATTCGCCCGACACGGGGGCACCGGTGAAATAAACATTTTCTCTAATTGTTTCCCTAGGTTCCACGTGACGGGATGTGTTTCCAGAATTTCCCCAGAGACGATTCGCCGAGAACGGTCTAGGGATTTCTTCTAAAAAAAAAAAATCTAAAGGCGAAAAGATATAGGAATTATTTTGAAGGGCACAAATTTGAGAGATTTCCCGAAAATTGGTTGGACATTTGGAACGGTGCATCGATGCCGATAACAAGTGAATCGGTTTATCGATAGGTCCGATCGAGGTCGAGGGGGGCCAATTTGCGGACAATTAAGGAGGGCCGAGGGTAAATCAGGCCCGATCGACTCTCCGGTCCAAAGAGGTCTCGAAACCTGTAGGGAGCCCATCGATCGGTGATTAAGGTTAATTAATCCACAAATAGGCCCGTTAACGAGCAATTTGTGGAACAGGTACACCGTAAAATGTCTCTCGTTGCAGGACCCCGTTGCGTCCTCCCTTCTTCTCCCATCGTCCTCATTACCGGCTGATCCAATTGATCCGGCTCGCAATCAATCGATCGAACGAACACCAGTCAGTTCCCCCAACCGAAACCGCGTTGACTCCGTTCCAAAAGAAACAGGAACGGTTCCAGAACCTCTCGGAGTCCAAGAAGACCAGGTGACTCGATACCTCGTCGGAAAGCGGGGAAAGCGTCGAAAAGACGCAGAGATGTTCGAAGCCGGGCGTTTAATTAATCTAATTAGTGTCTCCAGAGCTCAGCCTCGGCACTAAATGGACCAATGATCGAACCGGAGTTGAATCAGGCGCGAGAACGGAAAAGTCGGTCGCGCGCATGCGTCCTCAACCTTCCTTCGTCCCATTTCTTCCCCCTTTTCCACCTCGGATCCCCGTCGGTGGTTAATCAGTTTCCAATCGATCATTCGGGGCAGTTCCATCCCTGAGACTGGGGTCGAGTTGCAGGGATGACCGAGGTTAAGGTCGAGTCGCCCACGAAATGTTGGAGTCGAAGCTAGAGAATCAATCCCCTCGGTGCTCATTTTCTATTTTTTGTCATCGACCTAGAGAATAATTTCCGCCGTCTAAAACCATCGCCGGTCGTTCCAATTGAAATCGTCATTTCATGGGGAAGAAGGAACGTGGAAACGTGGGGGAACGAGAACGCTAGGTGCAAACGAGCCCTCTCGAGGGTTCCCACTAGAGACTCTAGGGAGTTTCGTCCTTTTTTCAGAGGCGCGAACTAGAGGCGGTGCTTCTTATCGGGCGAACGGCCCGCAACGAGCGGGGGCGATTTCCGCCCACTTGAGAAGAAAAGCCGCGACTTTTCGCCGTTGGTGTTCCGCCGCGCGGATTAATTAACGCGCTGGACTTTTTAGCGACTTTGCGCTAATTATGGGGCGGCCGGTGAGACGCTTCGAGCTCGTCCTGGCGCGTCGGTCCTCGACGCGATGCGAATTAAATTCTCTGCCGGGATGTGTACGGCCATGTACGGAGAGTGTACCATGTACGTGCCGTGTACCGTTTACTGCACCCGGTATACAGGGCGCTGGCGAATTTACCGAGGGGAAATTCATCGAATCGCGAACCCCTAGAGGTGGACCCGGAGATTTCCCTAGGATAACTGGGCTCGACCTCTCGACCGGCCGTAAACCGGTTAATCCCCGGGATAGCACGGGATAGCACGGGATAGCACGGGACAGCACGAGGTCTGCCCACGAGAGAGCCAGGATAGGACCGGGATAGCCAGGGACAGGGACCCAATATCACCAGAATATCCCTAGATCTGCCCCCGCGACCAGACTCTTGAAAGATTCCGAGACGAGGTAGAAGGCGCTTCCAAGGGAACTCGAGACGAGTCCTGGGAAGCTGCACCTCGGTTTTAATCACCTTTCGGGTCCAAAGGACGCCCGGAAAACCCCGGTGAAGCGAAACCGAGGGAACTAGAACCGAATGGCTCTTTCAGGGGAAAGCAGCCCTCGAACCGCTCCGATGGCGTGGTTAAAAGTCCCGCTTCTGGAAGTAGCAAATCGTCCTTTTCAGCCGGCGAACAATGCACCGGAATGCCCTTTTTCTGCAGGAGAGGGTACCTCGCGCTTTTTTCCCGCATTCGAGATCGAGTGGGGCTTTTCCGGTGTTTCCATTTCCTCGGACGCGGGTTCCGCTCCTGACGGGCGGAAAACCGCCCCCTCGGCTCGGGGGAAAAAAGCCGCGGTGGCTGCTCGAATTTCAGGGGATGAATCCGACACCCCCGATCGTTAGCAGGAGCCGAGGTGTCTCATCGACAGCCTCTTAACCGCGCAAACGGAAAACCTCGGCCGTTTCGAGCCTCGCAAATTAACGGCCTTGTTGGTCCGTCGTAATTGCCGTACTAAAAGAGGAAGCCTCGAGGAGTCGTTTCGGTACCGAGAGCCTACTCAAGACTTTCTCGAGCTCTTCCTTTGCGCCAACGGGGACTCCTCTCCTGCTTTCCGCGTCTTTGGAGCCCGTCAAATATTCGGAGTTCGACGTCCCGATATCCTGGATAAACCTGGATAAAGGAAAGGAATATTAACCGATCGCGTGAATTCCATTCCAGTCAGGGAAAAATCCAGGATTTTCTCGCGTGCCGGGGAGTGGGCTCGTTTTTTTAGGCAGCGCTCGTTATTTTATCGATTAATGTAATTGAAATGCGTTATTATTGGACTGCTATTGGAATGCGTTATTAAAATTCCACGGATTAAAATTCATATATATAATGATGAGCGCTGTTTATAAATCGCGCCCTATATATATACAGGGAGTTATGAATTTAATTTTTCAGAGGCGCGGGTCAGAGGTCCTCCCCCGCAGGGCCTCGGCCGGACGTCACCCCGCGCTCCGGAAATCGAGCCCCGATTTGAAATCCTCTCTTCCCCGGGGCACAAAGGACGTAATCGCCGGTAGAGTCTCTCGACCTTATTCCCTCCGATCTTTGTGCCAAGCCCGCGCGATCGGACGACCCGACGCTTTCCTCGGGAGAGCCCTCTTGCGCGCTATCTTGCGCCTCGAAAGATTTTACGGGCACTCGAGTGGCAACCGCGAACGGGCCGCTCGTCGCTCGAAACTTACGTACTCCGAATCCACTCGACGTAAAACCGCTTTCGACGCATTTACGAGTCGGGACGCCGAGTGGAAGGAAAATAAAGGGTCCCCGCGAGCTGCGACCCGGGACCGAAAGTCCCGCGTGAAAACTCGAGACCGGAGGCGAGCAACGATATATTTGGTCTTGCTCTTTCAATTACGGCCTCGCGAGACGCGACAATGGCGGTCTAACGACGATAAGGGAGGAGTTTCGAATCCACTGGGTGCAAAGACGATTCCGACGCGTTTACGTCCACTTTCCGAAGTAAAGGGTTCCCTCGGATCTCCGCCGTGGGAATCCAAGACGGGGCCGAATCCCGAAAGAACAATGGCTCCTCGGGCATTCCCTTTGACGTGCGTTTGCAAGTTTGTACATGGCTCTGAAAAGCTCGGCCGAGCTTCCCCCGAGGGAAAAAGTGCCGGCGAGGGAGGAGGGCTTGGGGAGGGACTCGCCGGGGAAGGGCGAAATCTTCCCGTCGTTATTCCGGGTTCCCTGGAAAATTACCCGGCGGGCACCGGCTTCGGAAGTGCCTTTTTCAAATTGATAGGAGCACCCTTTGGACTTTTTTTATCCTTCCTCCTCCTTCGTGCTCGTTTCGACTCCACCCCCAATCAATGGTAAACGTCCTTTGAAGCGTACTTAAACGGCACGAAAGCTGCCACTGGACGTAGAAATTGTACCGTGAAACTCGGGCTACGCGAATCTGATTATGCCCGTTATCGAATTCTCCCCCGCGAGGGGGAAAAGAGAAAACGGCGAAGAGTCACCGATTTAAGTAACGTCGGCGGCCATTTCTGAAAAAGGAATCTCCGAACTTTTAATTACGCCTCGTTATTGCGGCGGTTGAAGTCTCTCGTTATGGCTCACCATTAAACTTCTTGAATGAGCCGCCCTATACCTAGACTTCATTTCTCCCGAAGAAACCTAGAAAACTTGTGGAATTCCCCGTACTCCCCGGGACGTTATTACAACGCGTAATACAGTTCAACGATCTATACCGATGGCAGTTTGCAACTTTGATAATTCCCCTAATGATATGCGCAAGTTTCGGGGTCGAAGTTGACTCCTGTACGCGTGACGCTTTTCGAGACGTTGTCCCCGGTACCTGCGTTACCGTGTATTACAATTATTTCCGCTAATTATGCTCATAAATTTAAATAACCTCTTTAGAGAGGTTCATCGAGCGATGGCCTCTGAGACGTGGGACTTTCTTCAGGACATAGACATGCTGCAGCTGTTCGCATCCCCAGCGGGTAGAGCTCTGATCAGCAGCGAGAACCAACCGAGAGGGTCGACGTCGACGTCCTCCCTGTCTCGGGAAAGCTCTTCGAGGCTGAAGAACAGCAGGAGGACCTCGGGAACGGGCACCGTCAGCGCCCCGACATCTCCTCCAAGGCAGCGCAAGTCCAGCACCGAGCTTTACAAGGAAGCAGCCGAAATTCTGGGCTTGACATGTTCCCTGAGCGACAGCTGTCGCTGCATCGACTGTCAGGTAGAGATTTGCAACATTTTGTTCGGTATACATGGTCCGGTGAAATAACCCATCCTTCGGTTTTTCCCAATTTACCTATATGGACCACTTTGAGTAGTCGATGGTACTCGATGGTCCTCGGTTCTCGAACTAGCAGTCTATGCCTCGAATCGAGCTCAGCCAGCGATTTCCTTTTCCAGAGCAACTACTTCGACTGCGACGACGACTGCGGAGACGCCAGAACGGAATTGGCTGCCGGCACTCCCATTCTGCTGGACCACGCTTTATCGCATCACCTAACGTGCTCCATACAGTAGCGGGCGACGTAAAACCTGACTGTAAAACGCGGCTTACGGGAGAGGAAAGGAGGTCCGAGCGCGGGGAAGTCGTGGAGGAGCGAAACTGCCGTGGACCCGCTGCTGGAACAGAGAAAATCCGGATGAACTACCGTCTAGGTGGAAGCGGAGGTGCTGGCGAACCTCGGGAAGAGGGTTTTGTCGGGCAGCCAGTAGGGGCATGTAGAATCAAACCGAAGGAGGGCAACGCGGCAACGCACCATCGATCCATCCATCCATCCACCGTGGAGCTGGTCCAGGGGTGCCGATCCCGGAGCCAAGTCCCAGCCCGACTGGCCAGATCCTCCCAGTCTTCCTTCTAGGTGGTCCTTTGCCGATGTACCGACCATCTTTATTTCGACTCGACCCCCGGGGGTGGCCTGGATCCCTGCAACGGCGAAACGAGCTCGGCCTGGAACGAGGAGCAATACCGTAAACGTTACGCTCCCGTAAAGTCAGGGCGACAGCGGTGTGTGGTTTGCGCGATCTCGGAGCCGGAGGAAAGGAGAAAAAAAAGGATAGGGGGAAAAGAGAAGACTCCGGGAAGTCGGTAAAGGTCATAACTTACGCGTCAAGTTGTAACCGCGGCTCCGAGTTTCCGGCCGGGATCCGGGACTCCCCGTGAGTAGGAAGTTGCGAGCGGTGAGATTACTATCCCGTGTTGAAAAAGGTCGGGCTATCGATTCCGGAAGTAATAACCTCCCGCGGGCTCCTCGCGGTGTAATAACAATCGGAAAGTTCCTCCGGTTATTTTTCTCCGGGCCGAAACGAGTTCATCTCCGGGATCGACGACTCGACGAGTACTAAACGCGAGCGTGGAGACTCCTGCGGAAGGTATCGACTTGGATCGGATCGAATGGACCTTTGATGACACTTTTCGACGATCGAATCGCTTCTACCGGGACGTGCTTTGAAACTTTTCAAGGCACCTTTTCCCACCGTGCGTTTAATCGGCAATTCCTAGTCGAGTCGTCAAGAACCGATTTTAATCAAACTCGTCGCCGAAGAAGGAGATGTACATTAAAGGATTTCTTTTTATCCTTGCCGAGTCGTTACTTACATCACCTACCGTATAATTTACCGTATTAGTTTCTCACGCTCGAGAACGGAAGCGCGACGATTTTTTCTTTTTTTTTTTTTCTTTCTCAAGGTAAAGTGGGATTTTCGAGATGGACATTTGGATGGTAATCTTTGTCTGGAAATCGATGCAGGCTCGTCAGAGGACGTTTCCGTCTCCCGGGATTTTCGCGACGATATTTAGTCAATGTTCACGTAAAACTCGAGTTTTCTGCCGTAGATCAGCCGATGCGTCGATCGGCTATGCGAGCTAGTTCCTAAGTTAGAGTAATCCACTTCTCGAGATTATTCGCTTGTCCGAAAGTCCATAGCCGAGTTCTCCGCGACTGGACTTAATCTAGAGTTCGAAGGCCATACGCAACTCGCGGTTAGTCGCTCCTAAAACCGTAGAATCCTCCGAAAAGCTCGAGTCACCCGAGAAGCGAACCACGCAACTGCTTTACCGATGCAGAGACCACTCGGTAGACCCGCGACCGAGTTCCGAATTCGTTCGCAGTGTGTTCGCCGCGGAAAGAAGGGAAGGAAAAACCGAGAAAACGAGGAAAACATTTCTCTCCCCTTTTATACATACGCATTCAGCCATCTCGCAGTATGAAAGAAATATAAGTAGGGAAATCGCTTACGGAGCGATACGCGGTAGCGTCGAATGACGCCACAAAAGGTGCATTTAATTCTGGAAATGATGCGAGAGGGCGGCACAGAAGTCGCTTCGTGAGCAATCTCCGGTCTCATCTCCGTGGTGCTTTGCAGCAAGAAACTCAGTCGGCACTGTATAATTCCATTTAATACCCGGAAAGTAATTTCCATTAAGTATAAAAAAATCCCAGGAGGCATGCGATGCTATGAGTAAATTAAAGAAACCCCGCCATTCCTAAACAATCGAATTTGGAACGGTTTTATTAGCGAAATATTATTTCCAGGGAATAATTATACAGGGTACGCGATCGATTTTTTCTGCTGAAAAGCACCTCGCATGAAATCGATTTTAGCCGCTTGGCTCGAATTCGACGAATTTATCCATTTATCCATCGACCCGAATCATCGGCAAATTTTGTCATTTCATGTCGGTGTTTACAATAGTTTTGGACGGGTGTCGCGTGGCCGGTGATAACGGTCGGCTATCGGCTCCGCGGGAAGTACATTATATACATGTACATTGTATTTACTACACGTTTTACTATTGCAGAACTACATCCACTAACTCGTCGACACGGGTTATTGGTAGTCTGTCGGCCCGTGACGACGGAAAGTTCGGTTTTATAAGCTACTTCAACGACGCGTCCACCTCGCCGGTCGGAGCGAATGGATAATAGGTATAAGGAGTACGCATTAGTTTACGATAAATGTAACGACAAACGAACTTAGGCCTGAGCTGCGAGCCCTGGAAAAAAAAAGCGCACGATCGGACGCGAGGAGAGCGACCACTGAATTTCTCGCCCGTTAATAAGCCGACTCTCCCTCGAATCTCCTCCAACTCTCGGTGGAAGTGCAAGTGCCAAAAATCGACCCGATTGTGCGAACTTATAGCTGTTACGAAACGAAAGACACCTGTACCGTGCTGCTAGACTTAGCGAACGTTAAATAAACTGAATTCTTTCGCACTCGAAACCTTCTCCTTCCCTGTTACCACCGATCAGTTTCATTTTCTTTCCAATTATTTTCTAGGTGAAGGAAGTTTATATTTTTACACGCTGTTCGGGGACTACCATCTTATTAAAAATTCTACTTTACCAACGACGAGTAACGACCATACAGATTGCAGCGCCACTCTCGGTAGGAACTATTCGAAGAGTTTCTTCTCTTCCTGAACTAGTATATCCTTGGTGATGTGTTTTTGTAATTTAAACGCCGGGATTCATTCGGCTAACATTCGAGTTCTTAATTGTCTCTTCGAAAACATGTTCGAAATCGATGATTTGGAATTTGATGAGGTAAGAAACGATTACAAGATTTTGTTATTCTATAATGTATTATTAAGTGAATAAATAATCTGTTAATACTGCAATTTTTCCTTCTATCAAAATTAAGATTTCTTATTCATTGTAGGATCTGCTAAGAGATATTAATGAAAAAGAAGAGACTTATTTTTCCCAACAAATTGTCGACGATGAGTATTCTGTTTCAAAGAAACCCAGGTTAGAGGAGAGGATTAATCCACCGACACTGCCTGAGAATTGTTCTGCATCAAAGAGATTAGAATCTTCGAACAGGAATTTAATTTTAGAAAACCTCAAGAAAAATACAGTTAATAGTCCTACATCCGCTGCTGCAAAGTTAAATTCGAAACCAGACTTTCCATTGTCTGGTAAGGAGCTACTTCTAGACCGTTTAAAGAAGATAAAGGAGAAAAGTACTAATGAGAGATCTGCCAATATTTCTAGCATTATAAAAAATGTACAAACGAGACCAGAAAAAACTAATTCCACTAATGTAACGCCAAAGGTAATCGATGTTGCTAAACCATTGACATCTGAACAAGAAATGAATACACGACTTCAAAATTCTATGATGAAAGAGGAAAAGCAAAATTTAGGGGATTCTAGAACAAAAATGGTACTAGATAGATTTAAGCAACATGCAGCAGGTACCTTTGAGAAACCAAAATTTAATCCACCTACATCGTCGATATCATCTCCAGCTAAGCAGAATTATGGAGTGAAGAAATTTGCTCTAAACCGAAAATTTCCTGGGCCAGCGGGACTGCTGCCTGATAATGTGACAGAAATTATTAACATAAAGTTATATGAAGGTCTCGACGAAGGTGAAGAAAAGCAGAATGAATCTGCAGTCTCGGAGTATTGTTCTCAACGTACAAAGTGTTTGTTCTCCGAAGGAGCGTGGCAGCGAATGTTAAATGACTTAGAGCCTGGTTCTTTGGAAGGCTTTGAAATTAATAATATAAAAGAAAATGCTATAAATAATTCTGTTAGGAGTACAAAAATTCCTATCCTGGCAGGTTAGTCATATTTAAAATTACAAGAATTACATGCAATATATTAATAATTTTTTTTAAAAGAAAAATTTTTTTCCAGGAATTATTGAAGCCGTAGATTACAGTTTTCAAGATCCAAAAGTGGTATTAAAGGATTTTACTGGGTCAATCGAAGCTACTCTACACCGGGACATACTCACAGAGTATCCAAATGGTCTTGAAGTTGGCATAGTCCTTTTACTAAAAAATGCAGGCCTATTAGTGACACCTGGTTTGATAAACAAGGACTTCTACATTCTAGTCACAACGGAAAATATTGCAGGAGTTTACACTAATAAAGAGAAGAAGTTATCCTTGTCGCAGCGAGAGACTGGCAAGTTCGACGAAGAAAATGCAGATACAGAAGATAACGATTTATCTCTGAACACATCCAGAGGGAATTCATTTAATAAAAGGAATTCGCGAAATAATTCTTTCGAAGATAGTTTAAATCTTAGCCATTCTAAAATTAATCCACATGAAGAAACCAGCTCAAAGAATAAATCAGAGACAGATGACTCTGACTCCGACGATGGATTTAGTTCAGATGGTGAAAGGACGAACTGTATTTCCAAAGACAAAAAATACTTTAAAGAGAAGGATCCAAGTTTATTAGAAAGACTAGAAAAATTTGGAAGAAGAGTAAAGCACGATAGAGATAAGGAAGTGTTGAATAAGACTGAGTCAAAGCATTGTGCAGTTCCTAGTACTTCAAATGATTTCCTTGAAGATCGGACAAGAATGGAGAGCTCTGATAAGGTGAAAATCTCGGATGAAGAAAAAAGTTCAAAAAATCGAATCGAATCGAAGAGTTTCGATTCCGATGACGACTGTTTCTCTCTTTTGAATGATTCCATACTAGGTGACAAATCAAATAGAATTAATGGTAATTCCGAAAGTGATGCTGAATTTAAAAGCCCCAATTTACAAGATACTCTACAGAGATTTTCTAGAACACCCAAGAGTCTTAAGAAATTAACTCGAACAATAGAGTGTGTAGAATCAGAAAGAAACAACAAGAATCAAGAGTCGTCCATACAAAAAAAGACAATTCAGAGAGAGTTGACTGTACCTAAAAATGTAAATATTGCTCAAAATATGAATGATGCCAAAGAAGAAAAGAATTTAAAATCTCCTGGCAATAGTCTGAGGAAGGAAACAAACTCAGAAATTACACAAAATAGAGTGCAGGAACAAAATGTTGAAAAGAAGGCAGAGTCGAAGCAGCTCTCTTCGTTGAGAGCAAAACTATTACAATTTAAAAGCAATGATGTATTGACTCCCCCAGACCGCGATCAAACCACTACAATTAATTCAAATGAATATCTACAACTTAGAGATTCTACTGCTGAAACTTCATCTAACAAATTCCATTCAGCTTTTGAAGACGACTTATTAAAGGACAGTGAAGACTCGGATGACGAGCTGATGTCTCAGTTGGATTTGGACTCCATTATGTCAAATTACAACCAACGTATTGACAACGATACATGAAATAAGAATTCCTCTATACAGCAAGGCTGGCACTTTTAAAGCGCTGTTTATATTATAAAATAGGTAGAGCTTTCTTACGGAGTTAAATAGAGAAAGCTCATTTTCTTGTGATATTGCTGCAGAGGAATCGGTCTTGCAATCAGTGGATGAAATCAGATTAAAAACGAAAGCTTACAGTGCCTTAAAAACACTATTTTACTACCTATAAATACTGTAAAATAATTTTGCCAAGACGAAGCTGGACCTTCTGACAAAATGGCGAACGATTTGCCCGCTCTGTTCTTTTCCATCCATCGGATCGGTCACCACCTTGCCAAATGTGAGGAAAGAAATTTTTCCATTCAACCTTCGAGTCAAAATTCCCAGAACCTTAAAAAGCCTCTCATTCATTCGACTTTCAGCTTAACTAGCGAACGGCTAATCGACAAATTCAACACCGACAGGATAATCCTTAGAAAAATGTCGGCCGTGTTAATTATTACGATCGACAATGACCTACTCGTATTTTCTTTCGGTAAGATTCTTCAAATTGTCACATTTTATCGCAATTACATCAGAGAGTACTTGCCCCGTGCTAGTTAATCTCGGAAGCGCTCGAATTAACGGCCGGTCGATAAACGATGTTTCCCGCCGCGACCGGCTCCTAAACTTGTACTTTTCCACGAGAAAAGAAAACAGGTTCTACAGGATGTCAGAATTTTTCTGCGATTGCTCGTAAATCTAAGCGCACGGTTAATGCCTCGAAATGTTGCCAGGAATTACGAGAGTCTTTCTGGGTGGCGATGGCGATAATCAATTTTGCACGTAACATTCATGATTTACCGCCGAGGCTCGGCGTGATAGCTTCCCTTTTCCATCTCGTTTTCTCTTTGATACTCGACACCGATTTCCCGGATAGGATAAATTTGATAGCGCTATTTATTCTTCCCTGTGCATAGTCGCTCTTTAGTGGCTCGCTGAAATTAAGCAGCACCATCCTTGCGCGTTAGGGAACCTTTAGAAATTTCCGAAAACGTCTCCTTCATAAGCTGGAATGGGCACCAAATTTAGAGTTAAATGAAGATGGAATAAATTTTGGAGAATGAATTTTTTGGCGGCTTCCCGAGGGCAGGGGAGGCGTGCATGAATGATTTAAATACCCGATAGCCCCTTTTGATACGAACAAATTGCGGTTTATAGCGGTCAGATGTCCCCCGGTCTGCAGGGTATACCAAGGTTGATGCAATAGATGTCCATTGGCGTAGTCGTTTGCCGAATCCGGTAATATCCAACCTCGATAGATTCGATCCACTGCATCTACGCCGGTGCGTTATCATAGCCTAATCCAGGCCAATATCAGGGAAATCGGGAACGTGAATTACTAGGTAATAATAATCTCCTGTTGTCGAGACGCGAGGCTGAAACGCGTGAGCGCGAATAAAAACTAAAAGTTGAATTACCACTTAATATCAACGCTTGGTAATTAATTTCTCTCGCAAAACTGCGTCATAACATTGTAAATAATTATTTAATAAAGGATAATTATTTTGTAACTTCATTGGGTGCGATCGTTAAAAGAGGATGTAGAGTTAACCCAGCCCTGAACGATTTTTCCTAATAAGTCGCCACTGGGATAATAGCCATATTTTAAGTGCATGTCAATTAAGTTTCGAATTGTATGAATTATTCAAACGAAACGTATGAAAAATTGTCGGATTTGCGAGGAATATTTTGCCTCTGCCGAGTAAGCGGAGCAAACTTTCCATTGAATGAGTATCTGGTCGCAAAATATGTCGAATGTCCGATTTCTTAATGAGCCTTGAGTAGACTGCCCAGCCTTCTAACACTCGGATTGCGCAGCATGTGGATATTCAAATTAATATATATTTTTTCTGACCACGTCCAGTAGCGATTTATTTATTATTACCTCTTTGTAATTATCCTCGTATTAATCCCATTACATAATGACCGGCGGTATTAACCGATTACGTAGGGTAACGACTTCCGGAACTTGATTCAAACTTCAAAATGGCGGTATTGTCTGCAAGGGCGACCATACGACGCTATTTCCTTGTCCAGCGCGTTACGGTAATCGTTTCCGCTAGAGTAAAGTTACTCCGGTTTGCGAAACCTTGACCCTGGCTGAATCGCGCCAGAAAGCGGATTAATGTACCAGTGCACCTGAATTTCCCGTTTAAAGGAGGGACATACAGGTGTATCGGTATATTGAAATAAAATCGCTCCGAATGTATCCGTGTATAAAGAGGACACGAAGCAAACATTATTCAAGGAGCCCCTCCTCTAGATTTTCGTCTGTCTGCTAAATGAGACTTTTCATACGGAAACTGGAGCCAGTCCTGCAATAAAAAGCCTTAAATTGCGTTAGATACTCCTTGATTACTCTAACCTTGGTCTTTCAGCCATTCTCTTCATTCGCTGTTACTTGCTGTATTTATACGGTTTTTTTAATGCTAATCTGCTATGTTCACGTCTCCGTTTGCCTTCTATCAATCGACATTTACATTTGACCTCGTAGTTATCGTGCATTTAGATTTAAAAAGTGCGAGGTGGTTTAAGTATCTCACTCCCGACATGGAGTCGGACAAGTTCGTTCGATGCGCTTCTCACACGCGTTTGAATTTTTGGCAGCGGCGTTTGACGTCTGCGTCATTTTTTCCCGGTGGGGAAATTAATACGACGGCCGAAGCTACCCGATCCCGGTGAAAGTCTTCGCATTATTAATGACTCTTAATATTTCGCACAGTTGCAACTGCGACCTTTTGACCCTCGATCACCAAGAGCGCCACTGTCGCCGCGTCGAATTAGAAAGGTGAAATACTCGTTTCGTATTACATAGCCGTAATAATTACCATGCGTGGCCGTTCTGCAGTTTCATCGACGGCGACCCACATAAAAAAATTCTCCCCCGAGACGTGAAAGGATCGAATTTGCGAGGGCCTCACAAGGCACGGCCATGTTACCGCCAACGCATTTCAAACGAAGCCGAAGTCATTGACAGTCTTTTATTGTCACCACGCGCTGCAAAGCCTTTTAATGGCTCAGTTGAGCCTTTTTATGCAGACCGCGATGCAATTAGCCCGAACGAAGCTGCCGATTTTATTTTCTACAATGACGCATTATGCAATCCTACTGGTACACAAGGTATTGTGCGCGAATCGGAACATTCGTGCTACCTTCCTTTCCATTGAGGAAAATGGCGTCGTTCCTTCCGCGGCCATGAACGAAACTTAGCCAGACTCTTCGGAAAATTTGTTCAACCTCCCAATAAAATTACTCGAGAGTATTTTCCACGTTTGTTTCAAGATCTCGAAGAAAATCTTCGAGCAAACAGAGTCCTTGTTATGCGTCGAAACTGGAAGTAGCTGCACTTAATCTTGAAATGCGGATGGACGGCTGTTATGCCGGTATCTTTATTTGCCCCCGTTTTTCTCCTTTTTTTCTTCTTACGAGCTTTAAAAGATTCGTCTTATTTAACAGCTGTATTATCAAGACGATCGGAGGGTGTCGCGATGCAATAAAACACAGCCATCTATATTTCCTCAAAGAGAACGATCATGTCGCTCAAACAAATAACATCGTCGGATGGGAAATTCTTCGAAAAACCTTGAAATTCTTGGAAAACCTGAATAAACATTTTTTCTTTTTAAATACAGCTGTGTTTTTAATGTACCCGGAAATAAATTATTAATTTGGCCAGCCAACATACGGTTGGAGTCATCGAGCGATCTGACTTTTGCGAGTCTGATTGCCTACGGTTGTAAAGTCTAATAATTGGGCTATAATCCTTAATCCGACTATAAAGTACAAACAGGTGATAACACTACCTAACGTCGGTTTTTATTTCTTATCGCAAAAGTCTTAGTCTCTTGGTCTCTGGCAATCTACAATTCGACAAAATTCCTCTCGGATAATATCGTCCGTAACTTTTGAAGAAAAGCAATTTATGGATCGCAAACAAAAAGTCCGACGGTTTATCCCTGTTAAATTTGAGATTCCTTCGAACGTGCAAGCATATTTGGCGTCGATAAAAAAACCTGTCGTGAGAACAAACGAAATATTGAATAATTTTCCATATATCTAACCCAGCCTCTACTTAACTATGTCCTTTCAAGTGTTAATCGTTGCGACATTCGGAAAAACGTTCGGCTGTTGCAAAATATAGTAATTAGACTACAATTAGTAGGGGGAGTACAAAAGTGGTATTCCATATCGCTAACTAAAGCGCCTTCTTCGAAGGCGTCGGTGTGCGCCTCGACGAGCACGGGGCAATTTCGCGACGTCCTGCATGGGCGAAAATGACATCAATGCCTTAAAACTCAATTGGCATTGATGCAAGGTTATCCGAGCCTCGTGTGGAGGCAACGGAACTACTTACGAAATTGAACGGCCAAGTTCGCGCGTAGACCACTTAACGGTTGTCGCATTAATGAGACATCGAGTGCGCCAAATTGGTTTCCGCTCCGGGGTGGATAATTGTCAAGATGGCGGATATCGTAAGCGTCCCGGCTTTGCGAGGCCGATTGGCGATCGAGTTTATCGAACTTCGGGAATTAAGGCGAAATGGAGCTTTAATGACTCCGATAGCTCGCAGACACCGGATTACAATCCGAGTTAAATTATTTCCGATATTACGGTACCATTGCCTTGAATTAAAATGGAACACTAGCTGAGAAAAATGATAAAATAAGAATTATTAATCGTTGCAGGTGATCAAGACCGAATGGTATATGCACGCGATCGGGACATACGTCACCTACTTCTGTGATTAGACTGAGGCTGAATGAGGTGTATATCAATTACTTTGCCACAAAGTGTATCTCCGTATCCTCCGATGGGGGCTAACGCCCCCGCACAGCCCAAGCCGTCATTAATCCCGTCAACTTCCGCATGCAACGAGGTGCAAATGTCACATGACATGTGTCGCGCGGAAGAAGTCGGAGTAGGGGGAGGTCGGGGCGCGTGTTAAAGGACTGCCACTTCGAAATCCCAGTTTCGCGCCGCACTTGGTACCGACCAGGTGGTCTCCGGGTTCTTTTCGCGAGCGAGAAAGTCCGAAGACGGTATCCCCGGCCTCGCGCGATACCGGCAAAATTAGCCTCGGTTCAATTCGTAACTCGCGAGTTACTTCGGGGTTAACGTCGATAAAGCCCCGATAAGGACCCGCTATCTAAAGTCGCCCGGTTGGCTGGCTAAGTGACCTTAAATTGCAGTTTTTTTTCTCTTCTCTCTGCACCGGGGACGGTCTCTTTTCGCCGAGAAAGAGAAAGCAGTTTTTCTTGGTCTGGAAAAGACACGGTTTAAATATGAAGAAGGATACGTGGAAGCTGCGGGGTGCGGTTCTCCCCTTTTGAGTGGTCTTGCGATCGCATTTGTCAAGTGCGTCGATTTTTATGGAAGATCTTCTAACACAGGAATTTAATCATTCGCCCCGGTTCGTTCAAAATATTTCCGTTTCGGCAAAATATTTCGCTTTCGTTGTATACTTCCTCGATATGCTTCGATAAGGTCTTCTATGTTATTCTATGTATATGTTAACGATGGATGTAATCAGCATCCGTTACTGCACATAACGGAGTGTTATGACACGAGTATGTGTCAAAATGATAAGTGACTGTCTGGAGGATCGCAGAAAGTGCGAGGCTCGTGACCATTATCGAGTCTTTGTACTCCAATCAACAATGTTAAGATATTTGCGAAGCTTACTTTCGCAAGTACCTCGATTCCGTCTTTCGTTTTTTTTTTCTTTTCTTTTTCACGAATGTGAGCGTCATGACTTATCACTGCATTACTTTTACGTTGTATCGCAGGAATTTGCCTTTAAGGTAAATCGTTTATCTCGTTACTTACGTGACCGAATGTCGCATTTTTCACTTTTTCTCCATAATCGCTGGATTTTTTTTTAGGCGAGTCACCCTCCGGATTAAGCATGCTCGAAGGTAATCCATCGCGTACAACATTCACGGTTTGTTGCATTCGATGGAGTAAATAAAAAGAAAAATTCAAGAGGAACTCATGACGATCGCGAATCTACTCCCGTTACTCGGTTAATAACATGGAGATCTTCGCGTGTAAAAATTTAGTCATCCCTCGTCATTGTTGAATTAATCGGGCTCTCTCATTTCACTTGCATTTATGCGAAGACTATTACTCGAGAGACTCCAGATATCTCCAGATCGGAGAAATAATTGTGGCAGGACTTGCATAAGATGAGCTTAGGAATGCAGGTGAAGTGTTATGCAATTCACGTGCAATTTGCGATCCATCTTAACGAGCTGGTACTTTTCTAGGCAAGAATTGCTCCATTTCGATGCGTTTCACAAGGCAAATTGCGAAAAAAAAAAACCTGGAGATTACAAATGTCTCGGTACACACCGTGAGCTTAACGTTTGCCTTCGTTTAATGATCGCTTTTATCGAACCTTGCTTCGAGTCTGATTTTCTCATTGCACCTCCTTCTAAGTCCCAGGCATTTTAATTACGCCTGACTGTTGCAAATAATAATTTCTATAATCAAGGATAACCCACGTATGCGATTGCAGAGATACGCTAATTATTCGAAACAATTGGTAGTAAAATCATTTGAGCACGGCGCTTCCTCCTCAATTTCCAAAATAAAGCCTGCAATCACTGCCTTAATCGCCGCGGAGTAATTATTTTCATTACCGTCACTTCCAACTAGAAATGTACCTGGCCCCTTAAATAACTCATTCAAATGCCGACCATTACCCGCACGGCTTTTAATAGCCACTTGTAAGCTATATCAGGATCGAGGGGAAATCCCTCTTTAAATCGGAAAGTGAGCCTAATGCCGATCTTTATGGTCGCCGATTTAATTGGAAGCAGGTTGACAGTCAATTAGCGTTGTCGATTCGCCTAAGGCAATTCTTTTTTTTTTTTTTCTTGCGAAAACAGACCATCAATCGGTCGTCCTCAAGCGACTCTTCCGCACTTGATTCTTCCTCGCACGTGGAGACAGTTTCCGGAAGTCACGTGCTCGATCTGCATCCGCCACTTTGTCTTCGGAGCGTAGACCACGTAATTGAAAGAAGCAGCTGACATTTTGCGTCTAAAGACTTCCTCACGGAAAATAAAATTCATCGTCGGATTTAATTTTTTTTTTCTTTTTTAAGCAGGCCATGAATTTCACGATTCGCGCCGCGCATTACGTACGGTTGACACTAAGAAAGGCATTCCACTTGTTGTCGCTCCTTATGGCGATAATCACAGAAACTGCAAATGATAATTGATTTTGAGATCTTGCACAACCTCACGTGCACACGAAGTCACCATCGTCGATAATAACGGAAACGGTGCAACGACGACCTTTGGAAAATTATTACGTGCACGGGTTTTCTGCACCGTACTTATGGCTCATGGACGCTTTATTTATATAATTTACTTTGTCCTCTTTTCTTCCTCCAGGCTTGCCATGAGAGCGAAATGATAGTAAATTGCCGCTTGTTTTCTGTATATTAGTGCGTGTTTCTTGAAATCGGACTTATGTATGTTTCCGAAAAAAATTGCACGACGAGTTACTTTTCAGATATTTTAGAGAACGATAACGCAACATAATGTCGCATTAAAGTGGGACTTTATTCGTGTTCGGGTAAATTGGTATTTTTAATTATTTTGGAACGGATTTGCGAGAAATTAATACAGTGAAAAAAAGGGACGGAAGTATCCGTGGGAAATCGTCTAGGAATCGAATTATGGTAAACGATCAAACGTGAATCACCATTTTCAGAGAGAAATCGTCCAGGAATGCGTTTATGCAAATCGGGATAGTATAAAAACGGTCCTTTCGTGAATCATAGCGCCACTTCGTAACTGACCAGTGGAAAAGTATAAATTATCTTTAACTCTGGGAGAAGGCGTTATCTTTCATCTCGTTCTTACGTAGGTATGCGGATGATTCGTAGGAACTAATTTATGTTAAAAGATCAAGTATGGACCGACCCATGCACCTATGAATGTTTATGCAGAATAGGGTCGCATAAGAAAGATCTTTTCGCGAATCATCGACACCGTCACTAAAACACTGTTCGAACGAAGAAAAAGAATGAATGGTCATCTCTGGCCCTGCAAAACGTCGCAATTATTATTCAATCTATTTCTTACGCAAATTAACGAACGACTTTTTTTTCCCTCGATTTCCAGGCATTGGGTGTGTTTGCAAAACCGAACGGAGTGTACGTAACCCGATGATCTAACCAGCCAAGAAAAAACAGAACAAGCTGACTAAAAACCGAGAAGCGTTTTGGAAGGAACGAACCAAAAGTTATGACCGATATCAATGGTAAACACAGCAAATTTACATAAATAAAAATCAATCGCATCGAATTCGATGCAGCTCAAGGGGCGTCGTTTTCGGGAATCCCAGAAGAGGCGGGAGATTTAAACGCCCTTAATTCATCTCGCAGACATCGAAACTATTTGATAGACTTTCAACCTCCGGAATGCGTGCAAAGTGGATTTCCTTTTTCATTTTCCCCGAACATTGCGTCGATGAAAGGGAAACCGGAAACTAACTCGTTTTGCACCTGCGTGAACGGTTCAATTTTAACAAAGTTGAGCCGTGCCTATTTATGAAAGGATCGCGTATCGAGGCGAGTCGTAAAATCACAGTTATTTGCTTATTTGTCAAGCTAGTTGCATGTTGAAGTGAATTTCTATTTGCGCAGCCGCGGTGCAAAAAGTCGATAGGCAAAGTTCGAGGACTCGATTACTATGAAAGTACCGGCTCAGCAGACGAAGGTCAAAAATCTCGGTTTCTTACCAAGGAGGTGAAAGGATCCACGTATCTCCAGTAAACACCGGTTAAAACCGACACTACCGACAAGAAATTACATGGCATACATACTTGTTCAAATTATCGCCAAGTTTGTTTTGCCGGGAGCGGTTCAAAACCGTTATAACAATTGTTCATGTATGTACGAGAGAGATTATTTGGGTCGAGAATGGAATGTCGATAAAGTCGCTCTCCTTAAGGAGTCCTTTACCATTAAACTTAGGGTCAACGTCTGATCATTTATATCGTATCACCGATAAAAAAAATAAACACAGTAATTTTAACAAAATATCTAGACAGACTACAATTGCAAAATTCCAATTTCAGTTCTTGATTTTCGTTGCTTAACAATGCCGATAAGGCTATGAATACGGATGTGTTAGTCATCACAAAGAAACAATAACGGATTGCATTACGATAATGACCATTTTTTTTCCAGTGATGATGTTAAAACCTTTTTATACGATAAATGGTCTAGAAAAAATGACAATCGAAGTCATTGAGGACAATTTATTTTGCTCACGTAGTTAACGTTTCTTACGTTCGTCCTTGTATTATCTATGACTCGGAATGCATTGTTTGCTCCCTGTACTACTGATAAAAAAAGTCATTTCATTAAAATGACACGTTCTCTAAAATAAGAAAAACAATCCACGACTGCTTTGTCGCACGGTTTAAACGTTAAAATTTATTAGAAGAGGATAAATACCCGCCTTCATAAACTTCGCTACTGTGCATTGTACTGAACAAATTAACGCGATCTGAGACATTCAGTTTGTGCTATAAATCACAAAGTAATCATTCAACCAGCTTGACGTTCATGTTGTACTGTGTGTCGTAAAAAAAGTTATACCATTTCCTACCGTTCGCAGTCATTGCGCAGTTCTTGCTTTACTGAGCTTTTTTAATAGTAATTGTTTCAGATAAATTTTACTCGAAATAATATTTCAAGCAATTTTTGTACAAGTAATTTTTCTATATTTGTCACCGTACGGCATACGATAATGATCTAAAATAGAAGTAAATGCCATTGTGACCTTTTCCTTTACCTATTATCTTACTTATGACTTTACCTACGTTATTATCTGTTGTCACGCTTTGTCATGAGTGACTTTATCATGATCTTTTATTACTTTCTGGTAGTCTAATGGGAAACATAATTTACATTATATCGCTTCTAAAGGAAGTTTTATATAACTATGTTGCATTATGTATCGTGATTGCCTCGCGGTGATCTGAGATTAATGTGTAATTACCTGCAACAGTCGCCGAATGTAATTGAAGAAAATATAGTTCGAAGTTTTTTCGCATCCGGGGTGACAAACGCTTCCCTATTAGAAGATCATCAATCATTTTCGAATAACGTTTATTCACTCTTACGGTATTCAAGTGAAGATAAATAAAACTATTCCAAGAATACGGATTTAGCTTCCGATATAATTCTGATATAATTAGGAAATATTTTTCAGGCTTGAAAACTGACCAGACGACGGAGGCCCAGTGGCAGAGGTTAAAAAGTGGCCACGATGAGGATATGGTATAAAAATAAACAATTAATTTAACCCTCGATAACAAAAAAAATCCCACCTGCAATTCTTTCACCTCGGTTACAGCCGAAACGGTTCACATAATCATCCCTGTTAAATATTTAAACCCAACAGTCCTGTACATATTTAAAATACATTTTCCATTCTAGCGAGCTTATGGTTTCGAAAGGAGTTTTCTTGGGACTTTTTTCACGTACTTCTCTTTCGTCATAACTGTGGGATGGGCGAGACTGTTTTTTCATTGGTACCCGCACTTGTACCTTTACGCAACGCACAAGAAATGCAGCCTAAGAGAGGCCACAAAAATTTTAGTGATAGTAAGTCCCCTCTAGAAAATTGCACAAGCATTGCATCCTCTATTTAGAGTATAAAGGGAGAAAATAATCTCGCAATTTTTCTCCAGGACGATTATCAGGGAAAGCACAAATCTTACTTTGTCGAAGAGGTGCAACAGATTTCTCTAAGGAACGCGAGGTACCTCTTCCAGATTTTACGAAAAGTGTTAACAATGGCATTCGGATTATCATAAAAAGGTTAAAGCGAATTCAACGTTAAATAATAAAATATATTATACAGCGGAGATATTGGGCCGGTCAACTTAGGGGGAGTTGACGAAGGACTGTTGACGCAGATCCGAGAGAAGTGCGTCAAGATAAACTTAGAAAATGGTACCAAAAGAGAAGTCGAAGGATACCGAGTATTTCGATGCAAGAAACAATGTTACATCTGGGACGAAACGAGAAACGAATTCTCAAGATTGGTCGGCCTGGACAGGAACGTTCTTCGTTCCGAACTCGCTTCCAGCCACGCTGGCCTCTCGAAAGAAGAACAGCTCTTGAGGTAGGATCCTCAAAATGAAAAAAATTTCGAGTACGATAGATAATTAATAGACAGATGCCATTCGATAGAGGCAGACAATGAGAAACTGCAATGTCGCTAATCTCAGGGGTGAAGAGGTGACATTTTAAAATTAATTTCTACGTTTTCCACGTATTTTTTTTTTTTTTTTTTTCAGGCGCATCGTGTACGGTACCAACGAGATTATCGTTCCTGTGCAAAGTATCGGAGTATTACTGGTGTTAGAAGCACTGAATCCCTTTTACATATTCCAAGTGTTTACCTTGGCTGTATGGCTGGCGGAAGGGTATTACTATTACACCGGGGCCATCATATGTATGTCGCTCTTCGGTATCACCAGCACGATACTGCAGACCCGAAAAGTAAGATTCTGACAAGGTCTTCTTCTCCACAGATTTTGAGATCGGATACTTCCTGATGCGCTATTCTAGGCACATTCAAAAGTTCCCTTAGAAAAAAAAAATTTATATATGTATAAAAAACCGAACGGAACGACATGTATGATTAAACGAATTCTCTCGTCTCGACGCAGAATCAGATGAATCTACACGGGACGGTCGCCTCGACGGAAACCGTCAGGGTGAGGAGAGAAAATGGGATCTTCGAAAACGTCTCCAGTGCCAATTTGGTTCCTGGGGATGTTATCGAGCTTCCAAAGCACCAAGGTACCGTGGCCTGCGATGCGGTTCTACTGACAGGAAGTTGCATCCTCAATGAGTCCATGCTAACCGGTGAGATTCCCTAATAAGGGCCATGACATGTCCTGAAGCACTAGACGGGATCAGTGGCGCAGAATTTCTTGAAAAAAAAGAAATCAAGTATTTCTGCACAATGAGCAGGAAAGAACTTTGAAATATACAGGTTTTTGAAAATTTTGAAAATTTCAGGCGAATCGGTGCCGGTCGTGAAAACTCCTTTGCGACCAAACGGCGGACTATACGAGCCAAAGGAGAGCTCCCATCACACTTTGTTCAGTGGGACGATAATTATCCAGACAAGGTAGATGTTCGCTATCTTTGGAAACTTAGAGTTATACGTTGATGCTTTTTTTTACATCAATTTCCCCTCAATTTCCATTTTATCCGCAGAACTTACGGCAACGACCCAGTTCTGGCAAAAGTGATAAAAACCGGATTCCAGACAAGTAGAGGAGCTCTGGTAGCTGCTATACTTTATCCCCCACCAGCAGACTTCAAATTCGACCGAGATTCATACAAATTTATTGGAATCTTGGCGTTAATAGCCACCTTCGGCTTCATATACACCGTCGTGAGCAAGGTGAAAAATGGAGAAAAAAATGTCCTCACTCGAAAGGCTTTATATTTTTAAGTATCGTGCAAATTCCTTTTTTTTTTTAAGATGTACAGAGGAACCACTGCAGGACATATAGCAATCGAAGCTTTGGATGTATTCACCATTGCTATTCCTCCAGCCTTACCTGCAGCTATGACTGTCGGAAAGCTTTATGCTCAAGCAAGACTTAAACGTGCACAAATTTATTGCATTAACAGTCGAGTAATCAATGTCTCCGGTAGCACTGACTGCGTATGTTTCGACAAGGTACGTTCTTGTAATTATCGCTGTAATTAAATCACGAAAGAAGTTCCATGTGACAATTTATTTAATTTCTGTAAGACCGGGACCCTAACGGAAGATGGTTTGGATGTCTGGGGAGCAGTACCGAGTACCAAGGGAACATTATGCAAAGCCGAGAAGGACATTACAAACTTGAAGGAACATTTATTGTTCGAAGGAATGTTGGTCTGCCACTCCTTGACCCTCATCGATGGAGAACTTTGTGGAGATCCCCTGGACGTAAAGGTAATGAAATATTTATTTGCACCTTTGTGGTACCAGTGGTAAAAAAATTCGTTAGAAACGTAATCACCAAATTTTCTTTATCAGATGTTCGAGAGTACAGGTTGGATCCTCGAAGAGCCGAATACAGAGGAGTCATTAAAGTATAGTTTAATGACGCCGACGATAGTTAGGCCACCAGCAAATTATGTTTCGGGGAATAATATTCAAGAAATAGAGATAGTCCATCGATACCAATTTTCCAGTACCCTACAAAGAATGTCATCCGTGGCTCGAATTTCGGGCGAGGAACATTTTGTCACTTACACGAAAGGATCTCCAGAAATGATCCTTAGTCTCAGCAGGCCTGAGACGATCCCAGGAGACATTACGGTTACTCTTCGTTATTATACAGAACAAGGGTATCGAGTTATAGCCATAGGACGAGCTATCCTGCAGCACAGCTTTAGTAAAGTATGCAGTTTTAAAACCAGAATTTTTTTTTTACCAATTTTCTCTAGAGGAACGTTAAATGATTTATTTTTTTTTCTAGATCGAGGGAATGACCAGAGATATGGTGGAGCAGGATTTGGAATTCCTTGGGCTAGTGATTTTGGAAAATCGACTAAAGCCTGCGACAGTGCAGGTGATCAGAGAACTCAGAGAAGCTAATATAAACGTGGTCATGATAACAGGTGACAGGACACTTCATGCTTATGCAATATTCATGACTCTTTTTTTTAATTGAATTTGCTCATAAAATTTTTAATAGGAGATAATATTCAAACGGCTGTGAGCGTGGCAAAAGAGTGCGGCATTCTTTTACCTGATGAAATCGTCATAGATGTGACCGTAGTACCAGGAGAAGCTGGATCTTCCCCACAAGTGTACTTCACTGCCCAAGGACTGCCCCTGGCATCGGTATGGCAATTCCTTTCTTCAATTAAACAATTAAAAGATTTTTCCTATAATTAGAAAATTGTTGGAAATTAATTTACGCCCTGTTCTAGACTTTACAAAAGAAGAAGGTAGTACTTCCGACGCTGGAAAATGTTGAAAATGGGCTTAGCACAAGGAAATACAAATTTGCCTTAACCGGAAGAAACTGGGAATTGTTGTGTCAATATTACGAAAACTTATTGCCAAAGATTTGCGTCCGAGGAGCTGTTTTTGCGAGGATGAGCAGCGATCAGAAGCAACAGCTCGTTTTAGAGCTCATGCAACTGGGTTACTACGTCGGTTAGCATCATTTTAAAATTCCTATTTCCTTCGATACTCGATAGATTTTTTTTATCATCGAATAGTAAAAATACTATTTTTACGAGATAAATGAAGAAGGTCGATTTAAATAGGAACAAAGATAATTATCAATAAATTTCAGCTATGTGCGGAGATGGAGCTAACGACTGTGGAGCACTGCGTGCAGCCCACGTTGGAATTTCCTTATCGGAAGCGGAATCGAGGTAACATTAATAACTTCGATACAATTGTTAACATATCAACAATTAATTAGAAAAATAATCATTGAATATATTCTCCCCTTTAGTGTCGCCAGTCCATTTACCTCTCGAATCCCCGATATAACATGCGTGCCAAAAGTGATCCGTGAGGGCAGAGCAGCGTTGGTAACTTCAATCGGCATCTTCAAGCTCATGGTGACCTACTCCTTGACGGAATTGCTGTCAGTAATCGTCCTCTACTCGATCGACTCAAATCTAACGGATCTACAATTCCTCTTCATCGACCTGTGCCTCATCGTGAACTTCGCCTTCTTCCTGGGAAAAACACAAGCCTTCGAAGGAAAACTAGCACGCAGGGCACCAACGACAAGTCTAATAAGTTTCTCACCCATCATGTCTATAGTCTTGCAGATGCTGTCGATGACAGTCTTTCAAGTATCAGCGTTCCACATAGTTCGTTCATTTCCATGGTTCGAGTCGTTCGCTCAAGCCACCGAAAGGTCCTACAGCTGCTACGAAAATTATTCCGTCTTCTGCGTCTCCATGTTCCAGTACATCACTATGGCCGTGGTCTTTTCCAAAGGAAAGCCCTACAGAAAAGCGATATACACGAACAGAGCTTTCATCAGCTCCATCTTCCTGATGATCGCCATTTGCGCGTACATCGCAGTTTCCCCGGCACAGTGGATCATCAATGCACTTCAATTAATCGTACCGCCTACTTACGATTGGAGACTACTCATCCTTCTCTTGTCCTTCGCTAATTTTACAACCTGTTTGTTCATGGAAAGCTTCATCATCGAATACATGATCGAAAGGGTGATCAAGCCCAGGCTGCACAAGCCTGAGAAGTCGAAGAGAAAATACCTAGGAGTGGAGGACGAGCTGACGAAGAACTGCGATTGGCCGGTCGTAACTTTGGACTTACCTTGTCTTCCCGTTACTCCCAGCGTGGAGAGCTTTGGAAAATCATTGTGCTTCGGAAATGGGGACGACAAGAGCTACAAGATCGAAAATGAGATTGCGTGCAACGGAAAGAGTGTTTCGACCGATTCAGAAAAAAACGATACTAAAGGAATCGAAAATCCGGCCTTTGTCGGAGACGAGAGCGTGGAGTTCAAAATGATCACCAAGTTATGATAAGAAGAGTGGCCTTAATAGATGGAAAATCTGCGAAGGAAAATAGAAAACTATTGGGTTATAATGAAAAATATCCGTAGACCTATAGAAGGCAGAATATTAGAAAGAAATTCACTGTTTCGTAAGGTTTTAGAAAAACGAATAGAACCGAGATATTGGAAAGACAAATGTTCCGGTATAGAGATTTTGATAAAGTATTCAGAAGTAATTTCTACTGCTCACAGACCACAGTCCTTTTTTATCTTGTATGTTATTCTCACGTTAAAGACTAAATTGCGAAATGATATTATTGACTTGTCAACCCTTTTACACCCGTCCTCTGAAAAGTTCCAATATGTGGAACAGACTAGATCTGTGTTAATAGTGTGAAACATAACTTAGTAATAATTAAATAAAAAAGAAGAAATGGCAATCGACAGAGCACACCTGATCTTAGAATATTTTCTAATTTCTTATCAAAAATATCGTGGATAAAATATAGCGTAGAAAGGAAATAGTTAATTTCTTTAACGTGCTTTCCTTCTTGTGTAGGATGTACAAAAAATCTATGAGGTATTTTTTTAATTAGTTATCATACACTGTAGTTGTCATTTTTTTTTTCACATAGTTAATAATAAATTTGTTCCTCCAAAAAGTAAAATAAATTACAAATAGTTAATCGAGACAATTCTTCATTTTCAGATCCTATTATTTGAATTTTTCGCGCATTTCCTGAAATGTAATGACACACTAATTCTGTAAAAAAAAGTTTGACAAAAAATTTAATGCAATGGGATTTATAACACATACCTAGAATTGCTTCGTGTTTTTCAGTTAATACCTCCTGAATCCATGCTCTGTGCCGCAAAACCACACGATTTAGAGTCTGAATTGTACTATCGTAGACGCTGCTCTTCAATAATAATTCAGGTAACGAAGTCACAAATCTCTTGAATGCTTCTTCGCTGTACATAAAGAGAACTTATATCGTTTCAAGTTTTCATCGTAAACAGATATTGGCAACTGTTTCATAAATTAATAGTTCATCATTTATTAGAATGTTTGCTTTAGATGTTGAGTAACGCACCGATGCAAATTGATCAAGCTATGATCCATCGTAATCTCACTGAGTACAGTGAAAAGTTGCGATTGCAATTCCTTCCTAGGTTGTCGGGAGTAAACATCAGTTACAATTCTCAATGTCTCTCCAAGACTTATATTCCTTGTATACCAAATTTTACTTGCTCTTAAAAATAGAGTTCTCAGAAGCTTTACCAACTGTGGGAGTACTGGATAATCGAATGAGGTCCAGTTTCCAATTTTACCTATTAAGTAACATCAAACATTTGTAAAGTATATTTTGGTAAAAATGATATTAATTTTGTAAATGAGAAATAAAACATTGTAGAATACCATTCAAATATTCCAGTACTCGAGTGCAGTAATCTTTGTTTAAAATGCTCACTAATTCATCTCCTGATCGCACAGATGCAAACCAAATATACAGTTGGCAAATTGCGAGATTCTGCTCAGAAGATTCCTCATCAAAATTCTCGGTACAAAAATCCTCTTGCCTTCTTTTTGCTTTTTTGGCATTCTTTGTTTCCCGAAATGGAAATTTAAGAAATATATTTTCCACAAATGAGTTTTGAAAATGTTGAGCAAACCATTTGCTAATATTAGCGACTCCAATTTTTGATTCTAACTCATCTATGTAATCTATCGTCAGTTGTAATACATTTAATAAACTTTTTAATAACGACGATGCCTCACTGGAAATTACTAAATCAGAGTGTGTTGATCGATTCTTTGGACAAACTTCTATCCATGTTCCAAAAAGAAGAGGTATCGATGCACTTATACATTTTACGAGTTCCTCTGATTCAAAGTCTTTACTTTCCACACCTTCATCGCTTATATTCAAAATATAATCAAAATCTATTATACATTGTCCCAAATTATTTGGTTGATACATAGGAATAGATACAGCACTTTCGTCAACTTTAATAGTTTGTACAATATTGTTACAGTGATTAAAATTCTGTACTTTTTTCTCGTTGACCAGAGATTCTAGTATATTAGTAAGGCGATTAAAGACTTTTATCCTCCATTCAATACTAGTGCTTTTTGAATTTACTGAAGTAACAAGTTGACGGCCAGCTTGCGCATCGGTGCGAAGTTTAGATATCATGTCCAAAAAATTCGGTAGTATATTCCTACTATTTTTGGCAACGAGGCCTCCACAATTTTGTACTAAAACATCCAGTAAGATCAAAGAGTCTTCTTTGATATTTGGATCAATGTGAGTCATGGCACATTTTAAGTATGAAATCGGAATATCTGCAAATGGCAAAAGCTGCTCATTTGAAATTGGACTAAGAACTGAAATCAAGACTTTAATAGCATCTCTGCGAACATCTCGCTCTTTGTCAAGTGCAAGCGAGCAAACTCCATGAAGTAACGCATTTAGTTGCGAACTCAAGATCTCTGTTGAATATTGCAATATGATCTCTTTCAATTCTCCAATTGCATCACGACGCACTGTAGAGTTGTGATGTCGAAGCCGAGACAATAGATCCTAAAAAAGTGTCCCATGTGCTATAAAACAAGCTAGGTCGCGTAACCTCAAACTGTAAATCGACTTACCTTAACGTTAAGCTTTCTACGACTAAGTATTCCTCCGTCTTCCTGTTGTTTAAGTTGTTCTCTTATAATTATTTTTTTCACTTTAAAAGAAGTATCCGTTACATTAAGTCCCTTTGGTAAATGTTTTACTTTTTTTGCTTTTAACTTGACTTTTGCTTTCTCCGATTTAAGACTTTTCTGGTGTTTGTTGCCTTTACCCATATTTCAAAAATTCAGTAGAACAATGTTCTAAATATTTACACGCCTATCTTTATGTTGACATTAACTATTAAACTGTATCTAATTCAAAAGCGACATGGCAATGATAAATTTTAACCTACAATTCGGAATTCACGTGTCCCTAGTTGCTGCTAAGAGAGATTTGCAAAGACTACCCTGAACTAGAGATGAGCCTGAACTCATCTCTGGACTGCCCTAAGTGGGAAAGAGTTAGTGGCTCCCCTGCTTCGTGATTGTATTACGTGGTAACTGAATTTTCAATCGGTACCATATAGCTGTGCCATCTATAAGAATCTCCATAAACTTCGATAAAGTCAGTGGGCTTTCCAATTCTACCCGGCTTATTTTGTAATTAAAATAAATATGTATATTTGTATTGTTACTACCAATAATAAGTTTTTGCAAGACAATTAAAACTTTGTGCTATAGGTACTACCTTTATTGTTCAGACTTTCATTGCTTAATATCAAAAAAGTATAAACGTTTTTATTTGAGGTTACCAACATTTCAGAGTAAATTTTGAAGATATTAAAGTAATCATTTTAATTAACGACTTTCAGTTTCAGTACAAAGTATTAATTCCTATTCTTTGAACTTCTGAATGGTTTCACTGAAGAATTTACCGGGTAACTTTTTGCTGAAGTAACGAAGGTTCTTTCAATAGAATACAAAATGTAATCACAAACATGATAAGTCAGCCAGGGATAATACTACATTGATAATTCCCCCTGAGAGCGATGGTTTAATTGCAATAATATTTATTCCAGCGATGGCCAAGCCAATTACGTTTGTGACAGGAAATGCAAAGAAGCTGGAAGAATTTGTAGCAATTTTAGGGAAAAACTTTCCAAGGGAAATTGTTAGCAAGAAGGTGGATCTACCCGAATATCAAGGAGAGATAGATGACATTTGCAGAAACAAATGCCGAGTTGCTGTGGAAATCATTAAAGGACCGGTCATCGTCGAGGACACTTGCTTGTGTTTCAATGCTTTGAAAGGTCTTCCAGGGCCATACATTAAATGGTTTCTTGAGAAATTGGGGCCAGAAGGCTTGTACAGGCTACTAGAGGGCTGGTCCGATAAAACTGCGGAAGCAGTATGCACCTTTGCTTATAGTGCAGGAAGTAAAGACGATCCTATACTTTTATTTCGGGGTTCCACCCAGGGAACTATCGTCAGTCCTAGAGGGCCAAGAGGATTTGGCTGGGATCCTTGTTTTCTGCCAAATGGCAGAAATGCAACTTATGCTGAATTAGATACAGATGTTAAAAATAAAATATCTCACCGATATAAAGCTGCCGAGCAGCTGAAGCAACATTTTATATTAGCGGCTGAAAATGGACTAGATTAGGGATTCAAAAGATTCTATGGCAAAAAATGTATAAAAAATAAAAAATTCCACCGAATCACCTGTGTTGAAATTCTTGTTGACCCATCCCAACTTTTCCTTTCTCTTGATCAAGACATCGTTTTCCTGAACATTTACTTATTCGGTTGATTAGATTGCTTGCTTTTTAAAGTCAATACCATTGAGTATAAATAAAATTGATAAACGCGATGCACTTCGTTGTGGTTCATAACTACACGAATGCATTGGTAAACAGATAATTACAAACTCGTTTGTTCTTCCCCGTTATCCAGATGCCTATAAGAACTGACGTAGAAAGAACACAGCCCACAAAATAAAACGATTTGACAATTGCCTCAAAAGAGGAAGCCAGAACCCGATCAACAAAACTAATTGTTTAATTTGTCTTTGTAGATAGGAGCTAATGCTGTTCCGTTTTTTCAAGCGCTTGTGTCGCTAAGAAGAACATAACTAAAAGCGAAGATCAACGATGTTCCGGTACGAAAAGATAACATTTTTCGTTATATACAACAATGTAATATATGTACACCGACAGACATGAATGAACATGAATCCCTTTTCACGATGCACCATACTCGCGGGGAAGGTATCCATGTTCGCGGCTGTACGACGGTACGTTAAGTCAGATGCACCGGTCGAATGGGTTATCTGCCGGTGATTGTAAGTAACCACCCTCCGAAAGGTTATCGTATTTGTACTTTTGCATTTTAGTAGAATGAGATTTTAGCCTTATAAAAGGGGGAGACACGTCTCCGGTTTCATCAGTCTTTCGCCATGGGTTTCGTGGTCAAAGTGCTCCTTGGTAAGTTTCGCGCGACGTCCTCTCATGACGGGGTACTTTGCCGCTAACTCCACCGAAGCTCGACAAATATCTAATCGTACTCACATCCTAAAGTAACATACTCCTTCAATTAATTATCCGTTAACAGAATAAAGTAACATTTATTTTCAGAAGGTGGGCCATTTTACGACTTTATCGTCATGCGTTCCACATCAAGCACAATTATCTTACCACAAACAGAAACGTCATTGGTGAACCGGATACGACCAATTAAAAAGTTCAATCGATTCAAATCATCCCGATACAATATCATCTCGATACAATAATCCTTTCAGTTTAACTCATTTTCATTGAATAGAGTCGTCCTGAAATTAATTCATTTTTTCGCAGGGTTACTTATCTGTGTGGCTCTTTCGAGTGCGGTTGGTACATTTCCTTATCTTCGAGGCAAGACATTGACATACAGGTACTACGCCGATGTCAAACTTGGAACCCTAAAGCCTGTTCAGTATGCGTCCTATTTTGCGCTGGATGGACATGTACTTGTCACCCATGATAGCAGCGACCCGACAACGAATTATGCCTACATAGTTACCCTGAAGGACATCAAACATACCTTGTTCAATGGGCAAATGACGCTGTGGCAGAAGATCGAAACTTTCCATGAGATGTCCGAAGCGTCAAAAATGATCCACGATCCTTTCGTGGTCGTCTTCGATGAACGGGGCAAGGTAAATTTTATCCAAAGGATTAAATGATTAAAAATAATAAAAATTGGTATCATCTTCTCGTCTGCTCTTTCAAGGTCCAAGGTGTGAAGATCGCCACAAGCGAATGCGGCTGGTCCAAGAATATCAAGCAAGCGATAGCTTCATTGATGCAGCTTGACATGTCTTCGATAATGCCGCAATCGGAAATGAAACCCCACGGTTTTATCACGACAGAGGTAGGTAACGACTGACGGGAACGTTTTTGGTCTAAGCTAATGTTCTCTTTGGTTGTTACCACAAGAACACCATCCATGGGAACTGCCAAGTAGCCTACGACGTGCAACTGGTCCCCGAAAATAAATGGGATTTGAATGGAGAAATTAAGGTGACAAAGTCTTACGACATGCGAAACTGCACCGAGTACATGCAACGAGTTTTCGACAGCAAAATGGGGGATATTTGTCACGTACCGAAAGAGGTAGCATCGCAGTGAAGGAATTATTTGTAGTAAATATTTTTTTAAGGCTAAATGAAATCTCATAGAATTGCATTGTGTAGGATCCCATAACGACAATGACCTCAAGGCAGTACGACCTGAAGAACACTGCTGACGGGTACGTGGTAAAAATGATCGCGGGTTACGGCCAAATGTTTTATTCACCATGGCAAGCGAACTCGGAGAACCACTACTTCGCCAGCAGGTCAGTAGACATCACCCAACATTGTTTCTTCTTGTTCGAATTTTCTCCATTGCCCTGTTGATGAAAATCTCGACCATGTAACGTCTTACAGTCAAACCTTGTGGCTGGAGAGCGTGAAGAACACCGACGCTCAGCAGTCCTCCGTTAATGTCCGAAATGTGCCCGTGACCAACGGAGTTACTTATCAAAAGCCTGAAGAGAATTACGTTCCTCATGCTGGCGAAGACCTGACACAAGGACGTCGCGTCGTGAAGGTGGAATCGCTTATGCCGAAACTGAAGAAGATGCTGGAGGAAGCTGCGGATTATTTCGCGGAGAACCACATTGAAACGAAAGAACCGGACTGGAAACATGGTCAAACCATCAACAGGCTGCTGAATACTATGGGGTATATGGACGTCGGGCTGTTTGAAAGCGTGTTCACCAGTCTTCAGGATGGTCAAACACCAAGGGAAGAGACGATCAGGTGAATCTAAAATATTGCTACGAGATGGTTATTTTTGTAAACAATGTCGTGTCAATTATCGAAAGAATCCTCGACTTCGGCAACATGTACTTCTCTTGCTCTTCAGAAATATCTTCTTGATGATGGTCCCCCACGTCGGAACGTCGGCTTCTTGCATCTTCATCCGGAATGTAATTCGCAAGCAGAAGGTCTCCACAAAAATGGCATTCCACATGTTAAGTTTGCTTCCTCACAACGTAAGGGTACCTTCGGAACGACTTCTCCTTGACATGGAGGATCTGCTAAAACTTGATAACAGCGTGAACGTCGAGGTTCGCAAAGCCAGTATTCTCTGTTTCGCGACCTTGATCAATCGCACCTTCAAACACTTACAAGGGGAACCCATAAATCCTCTATTGAATAGATATCTGCAGCACTTCTTCGATCACGTTAAAAGTGAGTATGGGTTAACGTGCGTGGTTGAGAGAAAAAAAAAAAGGATACGAAGGGGACGATGAACCAATACGGACATAAAACATTTCAGATGAACCGACCTACGAGATGAAGATGGTTTACGTGATGGCAATGCGAAACGTGGAGGTGGGAAATATTCACCAACTGTTGGCTCCGATTATTCGCGGAGAAAGGATGCTATCCGAAAAGCCTGTCCACCTTCGGCACATGGCCATGTTAGCTGTCTCAAAAAGCGTGATAGGCGACATGGACTTTGTTCACGATTTATTCTGGCCAATAATGGCCGACAACACTCTTCCGGTGCACCTAAGGATTACCGCATACACTATCCTAATGGATCAAATGCCAGACATGGCTCGCATGATGAGAATTCACTGGTACATGGTTAATGAGAAAGACCAGAATCTGTACAATTTTCATTACACAACCCTGAAGAGTTTAGCCAACTCCGTCGACCCCTGTATGCAACCAGTTAAAGAAATGGTTCAAAAGATATTGGAGTCAAAAGTGGAGTGGCACTCGGATATTTTCCTTTCGTCTAACATCATCACGAATTACATGGATTCTGTCTACGGATATGGAGAGACTATGAAGATCATGGCTACAGTCAACCAATTGACCGGAATTCCGTATACTGGTATCATCGAACATGTTTCGATCACCTCTAGGAAGCCAGTTAGTCGTTGGGGGGTAAGTTTTACAGTAATGAAAATCACTTTGCCCGAAGAATTGGCCGATTAATTAAAATAATCCACAATACCTGAAGCCATGTTCGAAGTGTTCGTTACCAGAGAATTTTCAATACAATCTTTAATTTTGTAGGTGTACTGGAGCGTCGAGGGAATGGACGATATTCTCAAGAATATAGTCTTCGAGAAAGTAATGAGCACCTTAGAGACAGTATCGAACGAAAACGTGAACAACTTGCTGAAATTGGCTGCCAAAGACATGCCGCAGCACAAGGACATGCACGTAGAAGTTTGCTTCATGATGCACGACCATGTCATATTTGCTGGCCAATACGACAAAGACAACTGGAAGAAGTTTTTCCAAGACTACGGCATCTGGATGGAATTCCAACAAAACATGAACGTCAACTGGCAGCACGTGCAGTACGACGAGCTCTACGAGGCTCATGTGCCCACCGACCTGGGTGTGCCTATGGTCATGGCTACCAGAATACCTTCGGTCACATCCCTGAAATTAAATGCACAGATGACGGAGGAGAAGCCATCGATTAATGTCAAGTTAAACACTGTCATGCAAACTTGGCGACACGGACATTACTCCATCTCGGTTTACAATCCCATTGCCGATGTCTGGCACTCCGTAGAAAGGATGTTCGCCAGTGACGTCATGATGCCCGTCGAGGGTAGCGTCAGCTTCGCTGCGAACACCAAGAGCTTGAAGATCATTCTGCCTCGTCTTATGCATACCGAATCTCCGCAAAAGACAGGTATGATATCACACGTCAAGAATTACGTGACTGTCACCGAGGACGAGACCAATGCCCTGAAGAGGAGTTGTCCCACCTGCCATCATCACGAGGTCATCACCGCTGGACCCACTGAGAAAAAGTACCACCAGACCACCTTCGAATCCAAAGACACCGGTCTCTTGTACTCCATGGCTATTTTCGATTGTGAAAACGGAGTTACCCCCGTTACCCACATGAAGGACTGGCTGAGAGCTATGTCCTCCTCCCATAAGAACACATGGTAAGGCACATCTTGTTTGACCTTAAAAAAGGCACTGGTAATGGTCGCATCACTTACAGAGACTATTCTTTCAGGAATATTCCATTCGTCCACGGGATCATGGCTTTAAGGCAACAAATGACCCACTACATGATCTCTCCTGAAATTGGCAGCTGCGGATATATGATGAAAATGGAGACAAGCGCAGTGCATCCCATTTCTCACGTAGGTTTGTCAAGTCGTCTTGAAGTATTTTTGGAAAACAGATTAATTGCGAGATGAAACCTGATGATTCCAAAAATGCTGTTTTCTTAAATGAATAATATCATTTTAGATTGAAATCGGTCTTCGTGCCAGTATGGAGGACGTCAAGCAGCCGGACACTGCCATGTATCTCTTGAATGGGATGCTATTGAATATTCGCGGTACCGTGGATGTCAAAGCTGCGGTGACAAACGCTTCGATTCGTCACTGGGACATAAATGTTAGTGGTGACATGTCCGAAGGTCATACACGGAATAACTTGAAGGTCCGAATTACCAGAACGACTCCAGGAGAGAAGGACCTCAAGGTAACATCGTACAGATTTTTTTTTTTAATATTCCAGTTTAATTATTTTTTTAATGTTTACCCTTTTCGTCATGTTGCAGATTTGCGTTGATGGTCAAATGAATTACCCGATTGTGACCAAAGAGGATGTAATGAAAATCGACACGGTTAAAGAGGAGATTGCGGGCAAATTAACCTTCTCCATGGGTATGGCAGATGATGACAAGTGCGTACGAGATGATACCACTGTCAGCATCACCGTGAAGGGCGAGATGTCGGATGAGCAAAAGAAACAACTAAATCATGACAGCGTACATGGCAGGTGCATGTACGATATGAAGAATGCGAAATATCGTGGAACCCACGATGTCGTGCCAAGGACAAACGAATGTCTGAAAGAAGCCATCACTTATACGACTATGAGAAAATACACCATGAACATGGCCTACAAAAAGGTAAATCGTGAACTCCTGTAGACCAATTTTGTTAAAGTGTTCCGAAGATCATGAATTTTTTTTTCTTCTTTACTATTAGATCCCCCAGAGCCACATGAGCAATGTCTACTCTATCATGGACAAAATGCATGCAATGTGGTTGCCGCACATCGAGTACTCGGCAAGTCAGATCGAACCTGGCAATGTTAAAATGATCATGCAGTACCCACCAATGACCCATGACGTGGATGTCAAAATGATGACTCCTCTTTATACTCTCGATTACACTGCCTTGCCCTATGGTCATCCAGTTTGGAATGGATACATGTTCAACACTCGCTTCTCCAATACATTCCTCCATAAGTATATGAACGAGCATTCCAGTACGTGAAATACGTTATTAGTACTGCTATTGCAATGAATTAATAATGGATAATTTTAGAACTGGAAGAAAATTAACAGACGTTTCACATAATTACAGAGATCTGCTCGGTTTACCCTCAAGTTGTCATCACTGCAGACAACGGTGCCATTGACTACACTTTGACCAACAAATGGACCTTAATGGCTGGACATTATATCCATAACTATTTTGCCATTTTCGTTAGGGCCACCGAAGGCAACAAAGTTGCCGTCAAAATATATGTCAAGGCTCATCACATGGAAATTACCCCCACCGAGTCTAATGTGATTGTCAAAATTGACGATCAGATCGTAGGAAGTCATCAAAACAACACCATATTTCCTCCTGGCACTCCCGATGATTATATTTTCAGGTAGATTTATCTCGTTACGTGCATAAATTAAATAAGGAGCGTTATATTCCTTTTCGTTGTATTTTAAAATCGAAAATCTTCATTTTAGGATTGTGGGAACCAACAGAAAAATGGTGCAGTCTCATGGTTTGCCAATCTTGTTGGAGTGGACATGGAACGGAGTGACTTTACTCATGGACACCATTCTCCGGGGCCACGTCACAGGCATTTGCGGTCATATGGATGGTACGCATCAAGAGAAGCTGCCCAAAGTTTACATGTTGGCTGAAATGTAAACTAAAAATCAAGATGATCAAAGCGCATCACTTCCATCATTAGCATCACGCCATCTACAAAACAATGTAAACATTTAAAGTCAACCTTGGTACCATAGACTGCGAATTTCACTGCAATAATTAAACGATGTCATTCATTCCATAAATAAATATAGAGAAATGTAGGTATAGAATAAAAAGTAAATAAAATAAATTTATATTAGTGCCCTGTTTGTTATTTTATTTTTAAGTGGTTGACAACACAGAGGAGTTGGGAGATTGCTCACACACGGGAAAAGTCTGACCCTAATCTAAATTCACATAGAAAAAATCAAAGAAAATCCACACAGCCACTCCCGAGTCGACGAGAGGTTGTCCCGTCGAATCAACCGGGAAACATACAATCAACCCTCGTGTCGGTACGGACCTTTTGTCCTGCGACACGAGGAGGTCGGAAGAACGAAATGACAAAACACACCAACGGGACGTTTCGCCTTGTTCGGGCGGTACTCCCCCAGGAATTCCCTCCTGAAGGAGACCTGGGGTTTCTGGCCTCCTCTCCATTTGGCAGAGATGAGTTGGTCACCACACGAGTACATGAGCCGCCAACGGCTACTGGTAGATGGGATCGCCATCGCGAGTGCGCGAGCCCCTACCAAGAAAATCGTTGCGCCGCCCTTGGGGGCAAAAAACGGTGAAAGCTAACGTACGACACCAGAGGGCAGCACACGCTGCGATCGCGAGACCCTGCCCGTGAGCAACCTCCCAACTCATCTCTGGTTCTTCTCTGTTCTAACGAAGCCTTTCTAACATGAATTGGACTCCATTTTCTACGAGCGCTCTGCTGTAGCGGATAAAAGGCCGATAAAAGTATAGACGGGAATACAGTGAATTACGTAAGCCCGGCGAAGAACACGAAGGAGCAAACAATTGGCAATTCAGAAAAATCTTCAAATTTAATTTCGAGGAAAGAAGTGAAGAACGAGCGTTCCATCGTCAAAAACACGTGAGTTTGTGCCGGTTGGAATTTAACCACGGCATTTTTTCTCGTGTTTCTTCGTATTATTACTCGCGATTTATGATTTAACACACCCAATGTATGAATGTTTATTAACGATATTTATGTGCTTGATCTTTCTACCGGTAATTCGTTGACGAATGGGGCTGATTTTGTCGATCGATTTTTTGGGGTTAGTTTTCGTCTACACGTTGGTGGACGAGATTCGTATTTTTTCCAAACAAGTTTTATAGTACTACTTATGTATGTACATACCACAGATAATTCGTAAAAATGAGTGCACAATTCTTCAATCGAGTGGGACAGCTTGGTCTAGGCGTTGCTGTTCTTGGAGGAGTTGTCAATTCTGCGCTTTACAACGGTTAGTTGATAATTCGTTTTCGATAAGACGAAGTGGCTGATTTGTGTTTATTACGGCTGTGAATTTGTGTTTCAGTTGATGGCGGACACCGAGCTGTTATATTTGATAGGTTTGCCGGTATAAAAAATCAAGTTGTGGGAGAAGGAACACATTTTTTCATTCCATGGGTTCAGAAGCCTATCATATTTGATATACGCTCTCGACCGAGAAACGTTCCTGTCATTACGGGTAGTAAGGACCTTCAGAATGTGAATATTACTCTTCGTATCTTATTCAGACCAGTCCCTGACTCATTACCGAAGATCTATACAATTCTTGGTGTTGATTACGACGAGAGAGTTTTGCCTTCTATTACGACTGAAGTACTAAAAGCAGTTGTAGCACAGTTTGATGCTGGTGAATTGATTACTCAGCGTGAACTCGTTTCCCAAAAAGTCAGCGAGGATTTAACCGAACGAGCTGCTCAGTTTGGAGTTATCTTGGATGACATTTCCATTGTGAGTAATGAACTTGTTATAAAATTTTATTTATTGCTGAGAAATTGTTTATGTTATGGTCGAAATAATTTTGTGCTCCAGACACATTTGACTTTTGGCAAAGAGTTCACACAAGCAGTAGAGTTGAAACAAGTGGCGCAACAAGACGCCGAGAAAGCTCGCTTTTTGGTAGAAAAAGCTGAGCAGCAAAAGAAAGCTGCCATTATTAGTGCAGAAGGAGATGCCCAAGCTGCTAGTTTACTGGCAAAATCCCTTGGAGATGCTGGCGATGGTCTCGTCGAACTCAGAAGAATCGAAGCTGCGGAAGACATTGCATACCAATTGTCACGTTCTCGCCAAGTGTCATACTTACCTGCTGGTCAAAACATACTGCTAAATTTGCCACAGTAAAGGAGTAATAAACAGTGTACATATATTAACAACTTACCACTTTAAAAAATTTCATATTTTAGTTCAAAGTATGCATAGCAAAAGGTGATGAGAAACTATTATCTCCTGAAAAGATATTTTAACATTCTCAGTGTTGCGTTAAATAATATGGTTATACCTATATTTTCTATTATTTGAGAGAAATGTTCTCTATTTTAACAATGTATATTGGAGAAAAAAATTTTGCAAAGGTTCCTTGTAATTACGAAGAGGGCAATTTTTCTTTGATACATTTTGTACATCTTATATAATTATGGTGGAAAACTGTATTTACTTAAAAAGGAAGAAAATGCATTTATAATCCTTTCTCTTCTCGTAGCACCATAGAAATTGATAAGGATTTGCAATTGATATTTGTTGTCGCTTTGCTTATAGCAAGCCTTCCTTTTAAATATTGCTCCAAACGTACTTGTAGTTTCTTGTAACGACGAAAATTGTGAAAAGATAGGTTGCATTTCTGTTCACGATGAGCTAATAAATCCGCAAATGTTGAATTTAATGACATTCGAGAGGATCGCACGTAACCCTTGTAATTACTATCGCTCGTGAATAACTTATTTCCATTCTTTACCATTCGACTATAAAAGCCGAGTAGTCGATAAGGTAGAAACATTTCTATGTCATCGCCATCTGTCGTCGATGCGTCAAAACACTATCTACGAGTTTGCGACGACCGTCTCTAGATGGCGGAATCTGGTCGCGGTTTCTATCGGGTACAGTCATTCGTTACAGGATATAGCATGGGCGGTATCGAGCTCGATTCGTTTGGACCGACCGACAGATCGGCTCGATTAATCGGGAACCGAGATTGGTGAGATATTATCCCGGTAGGGGTCCACTCACCTCTCGAGTGTCGGCACGATTCGATAACACGGACCTAATTCGTCATAGTTTGGTGAGCACTACAGGGGGTGCGAGTCTCTCCGAAGTCTCACCTCGAACCTTACTTAGCAACTATCTCACGAGACTGCGGTATTAAGCCCACGAATATTATTTTCTGCGACTTGAAATCCTTAAATCTCGACCGTTAAATGTCCTTTATTTCCATCTCCCTGAAATTCAAACGATTACATCCTATCTCTTCTTCTCCCCGGGAGGGACGCCATTTTGGTTTCTCGGTGAATTTCAAAATTCCCAGTTACAGTAAGACTATTAAATTTCCCGGGAATTAACGCGGATTCGATTATTAGAATGGTATAGGTTTTGGTTCGGCGCGATTTTTGGTACCTTGTCACGGTAATAATCGATTCCCTTTCGTGTAGCTCGAATTCGGGCGGACCAGCCTCGGCGATCTCATCGCTTTCATGGAAAGAGGAGTCTCGAACGCGAGGAAGCTCGTTAAGGCCCCGGGGCCTTATTGTCCCGGAGGCCGAAGACCGTGGCACCAGCATATGCGGCTCGCGTGCAAAGCGCGACCGTGGCAGGAGTAACAGGTGCACCAGATCCGAGGAAGCGATCGTTAGCCAGCCAGCCCGGGTGCGTATGTCCATTATGATTTCTCGTAATTAGTTTCTTATAGTTTCGGATGCATATACCGGCCATTTGTTTCCACGCAGGCCATGCACACCCCGCACGGGCCACCTCCTTGGAGGAACATGTGTCCACGAGGGAGCGCGTCATGTTGCCGATGACAGCGACGCGACGAGCGTCTTCTCTGGGCACAAGAAATCCTCTAGGTAGTAAACAAATTTTTATCCGTATTTCTCTCCAGCCAAAAAATTTTAATTGGCGAGACGATAGGGAAGAGAATCTCCCAAAACGTGCCCGCTGTTTCGCCAACGCGAAATCCTGGATGAACGAGGAGAGATCTGCGTGAATAATGAAGACACGACCTCACGGAAGCCCAAAGCGAGCCTGCGTAATTCCGCTCGGTTCCTCTGGAGCAGAGGTCGAAGCCGAATCCGGAAAGAGGAGATCGAGGAGACGGTGCCACGAGGGGCTGGCGGCAATTAATTGCTATTCCCTCCCAGGATCTAGGGAGTAACGACTTCCCCTTATTTGTCGAGAGGTGCAAACAACCCTTGCCGAGATGCGCCACTATCGCAGGCCGAGACCGAACTGCGGGGCGTCATCGTTTTCGAGGAATTATCAATGACTACGAAGGATGAGTCAAGGTAGCTCATCCGAGTTCATCCCTCGGTAGGTCCTTCCCTTTGGATCTCGGAGCGGCCTTTTATAGTTTTAATCGCAGAAACGTCGTAATGGAATGCCCCGCAATTAATTAAGCCAGCGATTCGCCGGCCGGGAGGGACGAGACTCGGCGGAGCCGAAAGAAAGGGTTGACCACCGTGGGTCCGTCCGTCCTTGCGCCGAATGTCCGAATGGCCGAGGGCATGGCCAGTCGATTTCGTCGCTCTCGGTCTGTGGTCCGGCGGATTAAAAGCTGGAAAATTGAATGCGTGCCGTGATTTCCCTCGGATGCAGCCCGCTATCCTTTTGTTTCTGGCCGCCATGCCCGGCAGCGACGATAAGTGAATGGGATTGCCACTTTGTGCCCTGCCGACTCGAAAGTCTCTCTTCTCGCCCATTTGCGTACGCGTCCACCTCGGCGATGCTTCGTTAATCGTCGATTTAATCCCGAATGCGCGCGCACGGGTTTTGGAATAGGAGCGATTCGAGGATTCCCTGCAGGCTACCGAGTTCGAAAAATCGCTGGGTCCTTCTCGGCAACGTTACTGCTCGGCGCTCTCGCCTCTCGTCTCCTCTGGTCCGCGACGAACTCGGTGGCTGCTCTTGGGGGATTCTCTTTTGTTTCCCTTTGGGGTTCCTAACCGCACGCGAGGAGTAATTTTCAATAAATGCGCCGAGTCCTTATGTCGTTACACCGGGGGCCCCGGTCCACACCTCCGGAGATGCACCGGGTTCCCTCGGTTACACCTCGGGCAGCCTTGAGGGGGTTCCTTGGCACCCCTCGCGATTGATTTAGATCGAGCCCTGTAATTATCCAACTATGCCGGTGCACGCGAACTCTACCCAGGGGGTCCGATTTTTTTCCTCCTCTTTATGGGCCGCGTGAAAGGCGACCGACGTCAAGCGTAATCGATGTTAACATAATTGTCCTAAAGTAGGCGCTGGCTCCACGTTGGGGTTTATTAGCACCCCTAACATCGGTCCGACGGTTTTGGTGGTCTATCACCCGACTCGTTTTGGTTCTCTCTCCGATGGCATGCGTATTGTACTTATGTAGTCTCGCGTACCGCAGATAGCAACGCGTCGCGATACCGCGGAAGGACGAGTGACGTTCCCGTTAGCGTCACGCCGCTTCCTCTTCGAGGTTGTCCCCACAACCTGCGGAAGTCGGGAGGTCATCGCGTGTGCGGATTCCGAGGCACCCGGTGAAAGATCACCGGGGGACCCGAGAATTTTAAAAATCACGTACACGTATCGGGACGCTCCCAAGGGAAACGGTATACTTGGACGTTTTAATTTCACGGGGAGATTGAATTTCTGCCGTTTGAAAATTTAATCGGCGAAATGGAGTAACGACGCCGTTGATTTATTTCAGGTTCCGAGGGTATCCCTTCTCTTGGCGGTACCCGAAGTCCAGCTCCGGGAGTCGGAGGCAGAAGTTCCCACAAGATCGCCTTTCCGTGCAATAAAAATTGGAGTGTGGGGTGGAGTAACATGTGTGCAACGCGAGGGGCGGTACCCGGGAGCCGCGGCTGCGGTCCCGGGCATTCGTCCATCCGCTCGTCCATCCGTTCGTCCATCCGTCTGCGGCAAGAACGCCGGGGAGAGGCCAGGTAATTACTACATCCTCGGACTCGGATGCCTCGTCGATGCCACCCCGGTTCGCCAGAATTCGCCCGGTCGCGTCGTCCCTGCATACGTGCATACCTGCATACCTGCACTCGTGGTATAAATGCACCCTCGAGACGAGCGGCACACAAGGGCGGATGTACCGCCGGCCGATCGCAGCTTCCGTCACGCGACCCGCGGCTCCGAAATTCGGGAGAATTCGGGAGAACTCACCGGTTCCTCCAGAGTGCATTATATCGCGAACACGCGTTCCGCACGAAGATCCGCTCCGCGACGGACCGGATCTCGCATGAGTCTCCCCAGGCTTTCGTCCGGCCTTTCCGCAGGTCCTGGGAATTTCGCACATTTTTTTTCGCTCCGGTTTTTAACTGGGTTTATTTAGTTCTTTTATTCGTTCCAACGGTAGAGAGAGGGAGAAAGAATTTTGGAGGTTTCTTAAAACTAAGGCAAGTGTGAAGCGAAAGAAAGCTGCGGGTTCCGAGACCTTCTTTCGAGGACCAAGAGGGTGGAGGCATCTTCCAGCGTTTTGCGTTCCACTCGGAACCGGCGTCGATTGCGTCGCGTTCTCGTCTACATTGTCCCGGGAACGGCAGAGATTGACCTTAGACCTCAAGATGGGGGAGATGGCGTAATAAATCTTCGTTACGGAGGTGCGGAAAAAATGATATAACCACGGAGGGGCCGGGCGCGCTTCTTCGTTCGTTTCCTTTCTTCCCTTAATGCGCGCGGAACCGCTCCGGGGAGCGTCCGTACCTCTTCGGCAGTTGTTGCTTCCTGGGCGCGTGGTCGCCCCGAGGTTGGGATATTTCGTTCCCAAAAATTCTTTCTTCGGTCATTGACGCGTGTCGTTTAAAGACAATGGATAAATGACGTCTTTTGAGCCTAGATGTGAGGTACGCGTAACCGGCCTGATCCCCTATGGTCCATTTTGCGCTCTTCAAGGTTCCTTCCGAGATGCACTCCGTGAGATCGGGCTCGATGCATTAATTCGGCCGCGAAGTCATCCTGAGATTCCCGGTTGTAGGTGATAAGTCATAGTCAGGGAGAAGGTGTCACCTACCGTGGCTTCACGCGTGGTACCACCGTGCATGCCGGGTTTAAGACGTGCAACCCGATACTCGAAACCGCGCCTTCTCGATAGTATCGCTCGAATGCGCCACCGTTTAACGTACCCTTACAACTTAGCCGGGAAACCGAAAAGGGAGGCGCGACCTCGACGAGGAGGAGGCACTAAAAGTCGTTCCTTCGGGGTGCACCCCGACCCCTGATGTAATCCAAGCTCGCCCTGGATTTTCGAAATCCGAGGAAACGAGGGGGCAAATTGGCCATCGGGTGCGCGCGAAAAGTCCGGCTAAATACCCGTTCGTGTGCGCATGGGTGCATGAAATAAGAGATAATCGATCGCACTTAAGGTAATCTATAAAGCTGCACCGACTTCTGCCCAGCTCGGCTCGGCGTCACTCCCGGCGCAGCCAACTGACAATATTGAGTAGAAGATTGCTCCGGACTCGGGCATAATGATGATCGCTCGGAATAATTTCAGAGCAGTGCGGCTTCTTTGAGTGTCACGCTATTCGTGGCCCACTCTTTCCTCCCCTCTCTCTCAGATTTCGCGCTGGCAACGTAGGGTCTCGCTTTTCCCTTTATTCCACTCTCGGAATTTAGGGATCGAGGGAAGTTTAACTGATTTTTTATCACCATTTATTCCTACATTTGTTCATACATGTTTCTTACACCTTTCCACC